AGACACACACACAATGTCTTATGTTAGTATCTCCTGCTGAGGGTCTCAGTGGGTCTTTATTTATACATTAAGACAAGCGGTGAGATGACATCATCATATGCATGGAAGCAAAGCAGAAACAATCAGTGCTTTCTTTTCCCATAGACTTTTGGCTGCTACGTGCTCTCAGCAAGAAGGCAGCCTTCAAGGTTAATAGATAAAAAACTGAACCTTACACTAAAACTCTTTATTTCAGCTAGACAGTTTCCTAAGATAGTTGATAGCCGTCGGTAGACTCCTATCAGCTAAAGCCTAAGCATCCAAAGACTATTCTATTCATATGGCCTTCAGCCGGAGACCAGCTGCTTTCTGGTTATCAGCTAACAGAGTTTTCTACCTGGAAACTTCTTAACGCAATTAACTTCATAGATCATTTAAAAACTTTCCTAAGAAACTTATAAAAAAAGCAAAAGAAGGAATTACTATAGTCGTTGTCCTGGATTGCTTGGCAGGTGTGTTCATGTATAACAAATTCTTTCCCATTGTCAGGCAGGCCAAATTTACAGTGTTTAATTTTTGAGCAGGTATTTCTTTGTGCCATTTACTTACAGTATTCTAAACGTATAATTTATTGCCCAATGTACTTTCCGAGAAGTTTTATCTTATATGACCAAGAACAAAATACAAGGGGATGTTTGTGGGTTGCAGATTAATCTTCGGCCCCACAGTGTGGGGTACAGGGAATCTTCAGCCCCACGGTGTGAGGCTCTTTGGAAATCTTCCTCCCCAAGGTGTGAGGCCCTTTGGATGTCTTGGGCCCCACAGTGTGAGGCCCTTTCTTTTGTTTACCAGTGTCTTAGCTGGTTGGGGCAGCAAGGCCCCCCGCATAGTATCTTGTAAATAGATTTTATATCAAAATATTAAGGTGTCATAAAAATCCATTGCTGCAATTCTGTTGCCAGTTATGTTTGATTACTTGGTGGATAGCAAATAGTCCATTGGTTGAACAGGAGTCCTGATGTTAGAAAATAATGAGGAATATAACTTCTATCTACACTCTAATAGTTTTATGATCATAATTGGTGCGATGATTAAAATAGTGCTAAGTAAATGGGGAGAGGCTGCATACACATTAGATGAGCTCACATTACAGGGAGTGACATTTTCTTGTTTTGTGTGTCTCTGCAAATACCTTCCTTCCTCTCACTGCAGCCAATACCTACCACTCTCTGATGACATTGCCTTTTGACTCCTCACCTTGAATCCTACTTTATCTAGTTGATAATTGCTGCATAAGGATGATCAAGAGGTGACCTGAGGACAGCAAGGAAAAGGGCTGACAGAAATGCTGAGCAGGCTCACATGTGCCAGGATGGCAAACTGCCTGGGAGGGACGCCCTGTACTTGTGCTGTCCTTGGAAGTCTCCTCGGTCATAACTTAGCAACAGATGTTCACAAGGACAGGCATGTCGGGATAAGCCCAAGGGCTCACGTATGTGGTGTGTGAGGCAGGTCATTTTGCTTTCTCTGACATAAGATAAAACATAGATGTCTTTGTTCGCAATTCCTATGTAACCATGCTGAGAAAAATAAAGAATTACTGCTTGTAGCTGACAGCAATCCACTGTCTGGTGGGTTCTTCACAATCAGTATCCCAGGTCTCATAGCCCACTAGAGGCTCACAATAATGAAACCCTTCCAGTTTTTTTTTTTTTTTTAAAGCAACAAACACCTTTTTCACTTTTTTTTTTTTTTAAAGATTTATTTATTTATTTATACAAGCACTGGATACAGTCAGAAGCGTGAGAGGGTGAGAGAATTCACCAGAGCCAGAGCAGAGAGCAGAACAGGCAGACGGACGAAATACACTGCTGAGGGGAGCAGCGGGTGGCAGGAGAGGTCTGCACGCCATGTGGGACCCTACCTGGTGGCCGGGGATCGAACCGGTGCTGCAGAGGCTGCGGGCAGCTTCGCAACCCAGCTCTCAACCGCTGCGACACCAGGGGAGGCCCACCCTTCCAGTTTTTTAATTCTCTCTGTATGTGTATATATTTATATGTTATACACACACGTATGTACATGTATATGTGCATATATATTAGATTAAATATACTATCTGATGTAATACTATATATATTCTATATACATAATATATTTCATATATACCAGATTAGATGCACTGTCAGATTAGATGTTGAAATACATTATCACATTAGAGGAGAGAAACCACATACATATACATTAAAAATCATATTAGTATAAGTTATTATATATATAATATATAATATATATTTTATATATAATAAATTCTTGATATACGTGTTTAGACTATATGATTTGAAATAATGTATTACGTATCATATATGACATATTTTATATATACTTATATATCAGATTGACTTTATGTTGCAAAATATATATAATTGCTTAATAATGTATAAATAATATATAAATATACATATAATATATAATTTCTTAATAAGTTAATGTCAAACATATAATGTATATACATATAATATATACATAATGCCCTGTTAGTCAGAGGTGATGGATCAGAAGATAACATATTATATATATATATGTAATATATGTATATACAGCTATAAAATTTAGTTTGGTATTTTTAAGCTATCTTGTATAAGATTTTGTATCTGTGTTTATAAGGGTCTCAATTTTCTATTTTTTGGAAGCTTTGGTATGTGATTGCTTTATCTATCTCTTGACTGGTAGGATTTCTTGAGAAAAAGGCAAATTCCATTTTTTGCATGACTTATATGCATGTTTTATTATCTGTGGGTAAAGTTCAAAGAAAGTATTGGTCATTTCTTCTATGACTCTGCTTATTTTTTGTCAGTTTGACTAAGAATTACCTTCCTAGAAAGTTATTCCTTTTGTCAATGTTTTCAGTTATCTAGCACAGAGAATAAAATATAAATCCTTGGGAGAAAGGGCTTTGGAGAAGACCATGAACAGCCATGTCAACTCTGGGTACTTCTGGTCCAGAGTGTGTAAGGTGGTGGTGGTGATTTTAATGAGATTATTATTATTAATACCACTTATTGGTTACTTACCATATTCCAGGAATCTCAGCCAGCACTAATCATTAGCTTATTCAATTCTCCTCAACATTTTTTGTGATATATAGGATGATTTTTATTTTTGCAAAACAAGGATCAGAGAATGACAATAATAATAGTAAATAAGATAATAAGAAACAGATAATAAGATGTTATCACACAGATAATAAGAAACAAAGTTTGCTTTGGAGCTTAACACTTTAATTAATTCTATTTCAATACTAAAAAACAAGTCTTATTTTTTTCACCAGTCAGTGTGACTCTGGATCCAGATACAGCTCATCCTAAACTAATTCTGTCTGAGGATCGGAGACAAGTGACCCGTGGAGGCCTCCAGAGGAAGCTTAACACTGCTGGGAGATTTCGTGTGTTACCCTGTGTCCTGGGCTGTGAGGGATTCACCTCAGGAAGACATTACTTTGAAGTGGATGTGGGAGAAGGAACAGGTTGGGATTTAGGAGTCTGTCTGGAAAATGTGCCAAGGGATGTGGAAAGGATGCTGGATCCTCAGTCTGGATTTTGGGCCATCAGACGGTGCATCTTTAACTACTATGTCGCCCTTACATACCCTCATACGTCCCTTCCTCTGAGGGAACAGGTCCAGGTGGTAGGAGTTTCTCTGGACTGTGAGGCTGGACTTGTCTCCTTTTACAACATGACGACTGGCTCCCTCATCTTCACCTTTCCAAAGGCCTCCTTCTCTGATACTCTCCGCCCCTTTTTCCGAGTGTATCAAGGTTCACCTTTATTCCTTCCTCCCCCGCAGAAATAAGGTCAAGAGCAAAGTCTCCTTACTTTATCTAGCATAGAGACTAAAATATAAATCCTTGGGGGCAGATATTCAAGCTGTTTCCTTCCCTGCTTTTCCCAGTATCTTGAGCATTGCTGACCCCCTAGTGGACACGTAAACATTTGCATTGAATGAATGGATATAAAACTCTAAAATACCATAGAGATCAGACTGAGCTTGAAAACAGCAAAATAGTAGCAATGCTCATACATTCTTCTCTCCATTCCTCCTCAGCAGGTTCAGATGTTTGATTTCCAAGAGACCTGGCTAACTAGCAGGGTGACAAGAGGTCTAGAGGTCTGAGTTCTCCCCAGTTTGTTGGCTATCATTTGAAGTCCTTCATGGGAATGAGGTCTTGTCTCTGTCATCTGCACAAAAGAGCAAGAAAATCAAAATGACAGTGACTCTTCTAGCTCTAACATGTTGATTAATAATTGAACTGGAGCCCAGGTTAGCATTGTCATCCAGGATGACATGGCCCAATGACTCTGCCAGGTGATAACCAGTAAAGTGTGAGACAAGAGTCACCATTGTCTTAACAGTCAGTGAGATGCTTGGAGATGAGATTATAGAAATGAATTGTGATGGGGGCCTCAGTGGTGGGAAAAAAAAAGTTGTTACGTTTCAGGCTGTATAGTACCAATTATCACAAGAGATTTTTAAATCTCAGTAAATACTTATTGCTAGGGGGATTGTTGACCATTTTTCTATGACTCAGCTATAACCAAATAGCTTTTGAATAGACACAGATTTATTTGAAAAGTACATACCATTTCAACTCTAAGTTATCCTACCTGAATCTGTTATAGGACAGGGAGAGGGGCAGCCCAAACCCCGCAAACCTGCCTATTCTAAATGGGTTCTGCCATCCACCGCATCAACACAAAACATATGACACTTTAATGGGAAGGAACTTTAATAAAAACTAGGAAACAATGCAGGTAAGGCAAAGAGTCTAGTTTCTAAATGAAGCTCCCAAAGTTACCCGTCCCCTCGTGGGTAAAACTCTATCCATATGGGATCGGCCCAGAGCAAGGCCCCAAAGCCTGCCACAAGTCTAAAGCATCTTCCAGTGGGGACCCACAGAAAAGAGTCAGAAACAACCAAACAAGCCCGGAAGGAAAAGAGCAAAATCAACATCAAGATAAAAGCTGCCATTGTCACCTCCCCATGGGTCTCACCCACATCTGTGTCACCCCGTCCACAACCAAAAGACAAGCGCAGCTTCTTCACGTGTCTCTAGGCTCCATGTGCCTCCTCCAGGTCTCCTGGCTCCTTCCTGTTTCCTTCCTCAGTCTCTTCTGCAGCTTCTCCTCTTCCTGCTCAGCTCCACCCTCCCTTGGGTGGGGCAGGGAACCTGGAACTTCCCCCTTTCCTGGGGACCACCCTGTTACAAATTGGCTAAGCACTTACCATGGTCATGTTGTTATAGGGCAGCCCAATATAAAACGGGTTGCCTGACTGTGGGTCCTCACCCGCACACTTAAAAGGACTTATCAATACTCTACTGCAGGCGCACACGAAAGGTTAATAAAAGGTTTATTTACAAGGAAGGGCAAATGAGGAAATGTACAACTTAGGGAGAAAAGTGGGAGACAAAGTTTTAAATGCGTCCTACCCGATCCGCCGATCTGGAATCCCAAATGGCACTCTGAGAGCTGGCCGCGAGCCAGGAGCCGGAAGCCAGGAGGTGAGTGAGAGAGCGAGCCCCCCAAGGCCCATGTGTTTGGTTTTTATACTAACCCTGGCTGCTTAACTCCACTCTCAGGTCCCAGCCACCTTCCCTTTGGTGGTGACGGGATTTGTCTTTCCCAATGTTCTGATGGCTTTAGTCTGGAGTGGGGGTGGAGTCCGCAAAGCCTGCATGGGATTAGCTCAGGACATCCTTTCCCCCTAACAATTTCATGCAAAATATGAAGAACATAGCTGACCCAAAAACGTTACCTAATTGCTAAATGTCATGATAATTTGTTGATAAAAAAATAGATGTTTCTAATATCATCTCTCTGGAAACAGGAGAAATGAAGGTTAAGAATTGTTTTAGGATGTTGGAGGCATAGTCGGCTTTCATTTCTGCCCAAATAGAGACTTATCACCCATGCTCCCTAGCATCAGAAGTTCTGTTAAAGACTTTGCTACAGTTCTGATAGAGACTGGGTTGTAACTAGAGAATGAAGGAAAATAATAGATCACCACTAAATATGTCACCTTGGTGTTTGAATTAGTTTGATCTGAAGGCAATTGAGAACAAACAAGTACCGGAAAATTCTCTGCCCTCCCCACGTTGTGTAAAGGATGACACCAATTTGTATGGGTACCCCCATCCCCTCTACCAGGAAGGACAGAAGTTAATCACCTGATACTGAAAGGTCAATGCAGGAGACTGGAATGCAAAAGCCCACCAGGAAACCCACCTGGGGACAGGAATGTGGAAGCCTGCCTAGAGGATTCAGACAATGAGGCATCCCCACCCCTACAAATCTTTTCTCAGACAAAGACCCTTCAGCCGCCCTACAAATCTTTTTGCACCTTACGAACTTTTTTCTCAGTACGAACCCAGTTTCCCACCTGACCTCTCCTCACCCTATAAAAACCTGCCTCCCCCTGATAACATGCGGGGCTTCTGACCCCCACCTTGGGTGCGTGAGGTCCGCCCGGGAGCAATAAATTTTCCCTTCCTTTGAGAAAGCTTGGCCTGGCTCTTCTTTACCGCACTGTACCTTTCAGATACAACTCTAGATTCTTATCAGCTCAGAGAAGCACTACAGGGATCTACATAATAAACCCTGATAAAATTTATGCTAAGCCTACCTGTTTCTCCTTTACTCTCACACTTTTTTTTTTAATTATTTATATATATTTTACATCATTGTTACTTTTTAAACTATGTTTGCTTTTTTCCCCCCTCAGGTGTAGTCCCCACAGAATTTCCTCAACCAATGCCCCGTGCACCATCACCTCAGTCCCCTGTGCTCCTCCCTCCCTCCCTCTGATCCCTCTCCCTCCTCCTCCCCAGCAGGATGTCCCTGGTTTACAATTGTCTGTTTGTTTATGTTTTGTTTTGTTGTGTTTTGTATTATATTACTTCCCCCCATATCTTATTTGGTTCCCCTATATTCCTCCTGTAAGTGAAAATGAAACCATCCAATGTTTTTCTTTTTCTTTTTTCTGACTTATTTCACTGAGCATAATTCCTTTTAGCTCCATCCATTTTGCTGTGAATGGCGTTAGTTTATCTTTTTTGATTGCTGAATAGGTTTCCATTGTGTACATATATCCCATCTTCTTGATCTGGAAGATACTCTTTCACTCTTATGCAACTGAATAATCCCCAGGGAAAGGGGATGTCCCAGGTTCCCTGCCCTACCCTGAGGAAGGGTGGAGCTGGGCAGGGAGGTGAAATTAGAAAAGACTGGGAGAAGGACTGAGAAAGAGGAAGAAGAAAAGAAGACTGGAGGGCCTCCCTGGTGGTGCAGCGGTTAAAGACACAGCACTATGAAGCTATCTCCAGTGCTCTCTTCGGCAGCACATATACTAAAATTGAAGCTATCTCCAGTCACTGCAGCATGAGTTCAATCCCTGGCTAGGGAGCTACCCACATGGCGCAGCAGACCTCTCCTGTCTCACCTGCTGCTCCCCTGAGGAGTCAATAGATCAGTCTGTTCTGCTCCCTGCTGTGTCTGATGAAACCTCTCACGTTTGGCCTGCACCCTAGTTCTTGAATACATAAATTACAAAAAAAAAAAAAAAGAAGAAGAAGATGAATGGAAGAGACACATGGAGCAGAAAGATGTGAAGAAGCCACGCTTGCTTCTTGGCCTTGGATTTGTACCAGAACTTGGGGGACACAGAAGGAGACACTTGAAACAGACATGGATGAGACACTCATGGGGAGGCTGACAATGGCAGCCGTTATCTTGATTTTGCTCTTTTCCTTCCAGACTTGTTTGGCCTCTTCTGCCCCTTCCCTATAAATCCCCACCAGTAGGTGCCTTAGACTAGTGGTAAGCTTTTGGGCCTCAGCAGCCCTCCTTTGGGCCAACCCTGATTGACGGGGCATTTGCCCACAAAGGGAAGGGTAACACTGAGTGCTTCATTTGGAAACTACATTCTCTTTATCATCTCTGTATTGCACACTAATTGTATTAAAGTTCTTTTTTATTGAAGATCTTATGCACTAGAGTATTTTTGTTTTGATGCAGCAGATGGCAGAAACTATTTAGAGCAGGCAGGCTTGAGGGTCCCAGAGGACCCCTCAGTTTGCCCTGTAACATCCAAAAGTGTTCCTTAGATGCAGTTACAAATGACTGGTCTCTTTGATGAGCAATAACAAGTTTAGCAAGTTTGTCTTACCCTTATTTCCTGCAATTTCCCCTTGTTTGACAGGTTTGTCTGTATGGCCCAGCCTCTCAGACAAGCATTAACAAGTCCTCCTGCATTTGAAGGAAGAGGGAGTTAAACATCAGCTATGGAAGAAAAGCAAGCTGGCACCCACCTGTCTCCATGCCAATCCCTTCCCCCTCCCCTTTGCAGACCCTAGCCCAGCTCCACTTTTTTTTTTTTTTTTTTCCTTTGTATAAATACCCCTGCCCTCTGCCAAAGAGCAGGACGGGGTCTTTCAGACATGAGTCTGCTGCCCTCCTCCTTTGTTGACAAATTAAACCACTTTCCTTTTCCTCAAACTCTGTTTCCTTTTATTGGCTGAGGGAAACAGGCTGGTGTTCGGTATCACCTTCTCAGCAAGTAAGTACTTGGATTGGGGAAATTTCAGCTGGCCAATAAGTTTGAGCTGCATCTGATACCGGAACTGTCAGGCCTAGTCTTCCAGCCAGAAACAGATCCCAGGCTGCAGGTGCAGCGCTGAGCCCCAACCACTAGACCACCAAGGGGTGGTGTCTCACGAAGCCGCAGCAGGAACTTCGCCGACACTCAGGCAAGCAAGCGAGAAGAGGCAGGTTTGTTTAGAGAAAGAAAACGTTTATTGAGGAGAAAAGTAACAGAAATAAAGCTGGACTCCCAGGCCACGAAACCAGGCCAGGGAGGGGCAAGGAAGCCAAAGTGGAGTCGTGTCTCAGGGAATATAGACCTTCTTTCCCTCATTATTCTAAAGCTCCACCAGTCTCTTTGTGATTGGTTAGTTCTCGGCTGTCTCACTTAATCTGCTACTGAGTGGTGGATCTTTACATTCCTCAGCTAATAGGTGTGTCTTTCCCCATTTGTTGCATCTTCCCCCTTGTGTGATAGATTTATCTTTATGGCCCAGTCTCCCACATGAGCACCCCTGCATTTTAGGGAAGAGAAAGTCAAACATCAGCTATTGAAGAAAAACAGGCCGGTGCCCACAGGTGTCAGTGCTGACCCCTTCTCATCTGCCCCTTGCATAAATATCCCGGCACTCTGTCAAAGGGGAGGATGGTGGTCTACCGGACATGAGGCTGCTGCCCTCCTCATTTGTCCATAAATTAAACCACTCTCCGTTTCCCCAAACTCCACCTCCCTTCATCACCTTGTTATAGGACAAGGAGAGGGGCAGCCCAAGCCCCGCAAACCTGCCTATTCTAAATGGGTTCTGCCATCCACCGCATCAACACAAAACAGGAGACTTTAATGGGAAGGAACTTTAATTAAACTAGGAAACAATACAGGTAAGGCAAAGAGTCTAGTTTCTAAATGAAGCACCCAAAGTTATCCGTCCCCTCGTGGGTAAAAGTCCATCCAAATGGGATTGGCCCAGAGCAAGGCCCCAAAGCCTGCCATGAGTCTAAAGCACCTTCCAGTGGGGACCCACAGCAAAGGGTCAGAAACAATCAGACAAGCCCAGAAGGAAAAGAGCAAAATCAACATCAAGATAAAAGCTGCCATTGTCACCTCCCCATGGGTCTCACCCACATCTGTGTCACCCAGTCCACGACCAAAAGACAAGCGCAGTTTCTTCACGTGTCTCTAGGCTCCATGTGCTTCCTCCAGGTCTCCTTCTGGCTCCATCCTGCTCCTTCCTCAGTCTCTTCTGCCACTTCTCCTCTTCCTGCTCAGCTCCACCCTTCCTTGGGTGGGGCAGGGAACCTGGAACCTCCCCCTTTCCTGGGGACCACCCTGTTACAACCTGAGGGAAACCAAGGCCAGTGTTAACAACACCTTCCTTGGTCCTGGGATGTTTATTATTCCCAGTGGAATTAGTTACATTCCTCTGGTTGTCCTTATCTCTGAAGACTTCCTAAACTCTTCAGAGGTCCCCTCCTGCAATGTCCCTAAAACTGCCTAATTACCCTAACTTGTCCTATGTCTCACATCTAAGCGCCATGGCAGCCTCCACCAAAACTTAAAATTTCGCTGCAGAAACTTGATAATGGATATCTCCCTGGTCAAACTTCTGATGAGAGTTCTGATGCAGCCAACACCCAGATGTGGTTAGGTAAGAGCCTGAAGCAGAGAACCCAGCTAAGCCATGTTTGAACTTCTGACCTACAGACACGGAGTTACAATAAATGTGCTTGTTTCAAACCTCTAAGTTGCTAGTAATTCATTTTGCAGCAGCAATAAGTACTTAATACATATGAGCAGAAGTGTCTAACATCAGTCACAGGCTTCAGGTGGTGAGCTGCCTCTCCTCACAGGTCCTCACAGATAGGACCTGGATACTTTTGTCTCAGTCCTCTTTATCCTGGGGCCCAGCAGCCTGGGGCTGCAGCTTTGTGCAAAGCTTTGTGTTCCTCCTTTTCTTGCTTGCAGAGATGTTTACATTGCTTTCAGATTGTTTTAAAGTTTTTCTAAGTTAATTCCCTCCTCCATTGATTGTTGCTTTGTGATTGAAAAGTTTCCTATTCATCTTCTCTTAAATATTTTTAAAATGAAAATACTTGTTTTACTATTTGTTTCAGCTTATGAAAGTATAATACTTATTAACTTCTGCCTTAAAACTACCCTGAGGTTTTTTTTTTTTTTTCTTTTGTAATTTTATGTATGCTAAATTGGTAGGAACACAGAGTAAAAAGGAAATGTGATATCACTGATCTCCTGGCATTGCTAATTTTTGGACAGTATTTATACCAAACCTGGCTGCTTAACCCCACCCTCAGGTCCCAGCCACCTTCCCTTCGGTGGTGATGGGATTTGGAGTTCCCAGTGTCTTTGGCTTTGGCCTGGGGTGGGGGTGGAGTCCACAAAGCCTGTATGGAATTAGCTTTAGGACATCCTTTTCCCCCTAACAATAGAAGGAATTTAGAAAACCTAAATAAGGGACCAGGAAAAAGACTAATTGTAATAAAGTCAAAACTCTGAAGTGATGAGAAGAGTCTCCTCTTGCCAGGAGAACAGTGGCCTCACATTTTCTTTTTTCTGTGTTCCTACCAATTTAGCACTGACAAAGGTACAGCAATGTGCAGCAAATAACATCCCATTTTACTGTCAAGGGGATTCTAAAAGGGAATCCTCTAAGCTGAAACTACCAGGGAGATCTTGAAGGAGGGGGTGGGTGAGTAACCCCTGCTGGGAATTGATGAGCTCCTGGCCTCACCTCAAAGAAGTGTGTGCTTGGACCTTAAACAGAACACCAAATGAGTTGAGAGATGAACTGTCTGTTCTGCCACAAAGGACCCTACCGAACCCCCCCGTGGCACACGTATGACACTTCTCCACAGCACTGCAGAGGCTGCAAAGCTGAGTGGACCCACAATAACTGAAGAAACACGCCCACTTTCCTTACAGGTACACGGAAATTTGACCCACAGTAGTTTCGTTTAGGAGTTTAATCCAATCAGAGTTAACTTCCTGTCCAGTTCTCAGACGGTGGCAGCTACGGAGGAGTCACCCACAGATTGTGTGCACTCTGCTCTGAGGTGAACGCAGTGAGAAGTGCCAGCCAAGGTATGCTGGGCTATACTGCCTGTATGTGAGGGTGGTACTGTGGGGATCGCCTGAAACCTACAAATGGTGAGGATTTTACTTTCTAGCTCTTGCCCCCCTGTCTGCTTTCTCTTTCTCTTTCACAGACTCCATTCTGCACCTCAGATCCAGGATATAAGGTGAGGGAAAGCCCAGGACAGATACCCCGGGAGCTCAGAGGAGTAGGGGTCAGTCTTCCCAGGAGCGCAGCATTACTGGTGTAGAGAACCTTAATGTTTCCCTAGGAGGAACATAATCTGTCAAAAATAGAAGTCCCAGGGGCCTCCCTGCTGGTGCAAGGGGTTAAGCGCTGCACTGTGAAGCAATCCGCAGTCTCTGCAGCACGAGTTGGCTCCCGGGCCTTGCCAGGGAGCAACCCACATGGTGAGGCAGACCTCTCCTGTCTCGCCTGTTCTGCTCCCCACTCTGTCTCTGGTGAATCCTCTCACCCTCCGCATCTCTGGCCTGTACCCCAGCTGTTGTATGCATAAATAATTAAAACTTAAAAAGAAAAAACAAAAATAGGAGTCCCCAGAAGAAATTTCCTGTACTCCAGAATTCATCCTCATTATGAGAGGGAAATACTCCATCCAGTAACTTTTGCTGATTCCCTGTTGTTAGTTCTGAGACTGTGGGTTCCAAGGACAGGTCACTCTCTACACTCCCTCCTACATTCCCTCGTTCCTCCTCACAACTGCCAGCTGTGGGAAGGGGATCAGGACTAGGTTCCCCAAGCAGCTGCAGCAGTGGGGAAGGGCAGATCCTGCTCTCTGATACTCATCCCTGTCTCTGCCTGTCAGCTTCATCACTGCTGGACCAAGGGCCCAGCACCCAGGACCCCACAGAGGCCCAGTTTTCCCCCAAAATCACATCGCCCCTGCCGCGAGCCAGCCGCAACAGCCTGGGTGTCAGGGGTTCCTGAAGGCTGGGATGGTGTCGGCACAATTGTGGGGTGAGGGGGACTAAGGAGAAGCAAACACTTGATCAGGGTGCAGACATCATCCTACTGAGGGTCTCAGCAGCCCTTTATTTATACATTACAAGCAAACCGAGAGTCCATAAGCATATGTATTCGAGCAGGAAGATAACAATCATTACATCTTCTTCTAGAACAGCCAGGGGTTTATTTGCCCATCAGCAGAGGTTGTAACATTCTTTATTCTGAAGCTACCATACCAATGTCACTGAAAGGGAACTGTTAAGGAAAAGGGAACTGTCAAGGAAAGGAAATCTTTCCCTGTTAAAGAGCCATAGACATGGAAATGTAAGTAAAAGACAAGTTTGTGGGCCTCCCCTGGTGGCGCAGCGGTTGAGCGCTGGGCTGTGAGGCTGCCCTCAGCCTCTGCAGAGTCGGTTCGATCCCTGGCCACCAGCGAGGGTCCCACAAAAAAAAAAAATAATAAATAATAAAAATAAAAAAAAGACAAGTTTGCTTCCTTCATAAGCATATCTAAACAAGGCCTGGCAGCCTGCTAGACTGGTTGCTCTCCTGGGCCATTCTCAAAGATCTGCATCCTTCCCCTTTTCCTGTGTCAAGAATTTGTATGCTGGGCCTCCCCGGTGGCGCAGCGGTTGAGCGCTGGGTTGCGAAGCTGACCGCAGCCTCTGCAGCGCCGGTTCGATCCCCGGCTGCTCCCCGGCCACCGAAGGAGGGTCCCACATGGCGCGCAGACTTCTCCTGCCGCCCGCTGCTCCCCTCAGCAGTGTACTTGGTCCTTCTGCCTGCTCTGCTCCCTGCTCTGGCTCTGGTGAATTCTCTCACCCTCCCGCGCTTCTGACTGTACCCAGTGCTTGTACAAATAAATAAATAAATAAATAAATAAAATAAAAAAAAATAAATAAATAAATAAAAAAAAAAATAATTTGTATGCTAACTAACCAATGTTATCAAGGAATTACGCAGTGCCTTTTGCCATCAAATTGGTTATTTAGTAATTGATCAAACAGCATTTGCAGTTTTACTTTTACATGTGTATTTTAACAATGGTAGAAACCAGCCATAAACAAATAAGAAGAATCTAGCAGGAGTCAGCTAAGGAGATTCCTGACTTTTCAGGAATCTGCCCCATGCCCGGACCCTTGTCAGACGACAGGAGTAGCATGGTTGCCAGCACAACCCCCCCATCCCATTCTGGTTCTGCAAACTTCCTGGGTTCCAATATCCCTGAACTTCTGGGAGGAAAGTCCTGACTGAGAAGAGACAATCGGGTTTGTTCCCCCAAACCAAATCCTTCTCTTCCCAGCTTCTCCAATTCACTTTCACTCAGACAAGGAGCTTGGCAGAAAGGGCAAAGTGCTTCTTTCTGTTGACATGCTGATTTTCATTAACACATTTCATATCACATTGCTTCCTGACATCTGACATTATTTAACCTAAAAACCTGATTATGATCCTGCCAGTGTAGGATCACGTTATTAACCCGGTGTATTTTCTTCTTTGGAGGTAGGAGGGTAATACAGAATGTCTCTACTGGGGGTGTGGGTTTGAGAAGAGTCAAATGTGATTGTCTCAGTGGAATCCTTCGTACACCACCCCATTACCTAACATTTTACTTTACTACAAAGAAACAGCTCAGGTACTAATTGTTCCTGAGGTTCATTAGAGAAAGAGTTTCACACTCCCTTACTGAGTTCTGTCTCTCTCTCTTGCTGCAACTTTTTTAAGCAAGACCCTCAAGCTTCTCTTTCTCAGTGCCTAGTCCAATAATACTTTCTGCTATGCTGGAATGTTCTATATTTGGGCCACCATATAGCCACCTCCACATGAAGCTATTTAGCAATTGCTAGATGGCTAGAAGAGCTAATGAACTGATATTTAGATTTTATTTAAATTTAAGTGGTCATATATGATGATGCCCAACATATTTTGAAGCAACCTACATGTCATGTAGTTGCTAAAATCCAACCCATTTCTACCTCCAGAGAGAAGCCTTCAAGACCTGTGCAGGGATAGGGCTCAGGTTGGGTGTGTTCCTATTACTGTGGACAATTTTGGCTGCTTCAGCTGTTATTCTGGGTGTGACATTGGAGCTATTCAGGAAGAGCCATGGCCTCAGCCACAGCCACCAAGAAGATGAGGGAGGAAGCCACATGCTCCATTTGCTTGGAGCTGATGACTGAGCCCATGAGCATCGACTGTGGGCACAGCTTCTGCCGCCAGTGCATAGAGGACATCCTTGAGAACCTACAAGTGATGTCATCCCTGAGGGACCCCCAATGTCCCCTGTGCCGGGCACCATTTCAAAGGCAGAGTCTCCGATCCAACAAGCAACTAGAAAACCTCATTCAGACTGTCAAGGAGATAGACCGTGAGAAGCTGTGTGAGGAACACGGGGAGCAGCTCCGCCTGTTCTGTGAGGACGATGGGCAGCTCATCTGCTGGCTCTGTGAGCGCTCCCCCGAGCACAGAGGACACAGGACAGCTCTTATGAAAGACGTATGTCCAGGCTACAAGGTGAGTGAGTGGCCAGAGTCTTTAGCAAGGACTTGCCTCTCAGGTTGAACCTTTTCATTGAATCAGTTGTAGTGAAAACCATTATTCTGACCCTAAAATAAAGATGTAATCATGTCATTTTTCTGAAAAATATTTTAGTACATATCCACATTGAATCAGATAGTACTGTCCATCCTGACCTTCAAGGTTGGTCAAAACCCTTTCCTGTAAGAATTTCCTGTAATGAACTTCTCCTGGACAATAGATTTTGCTCTCTGCCACACGGGCCTCATTCATGGCCTCACCTCAAATATTTAATTGGAGACACCACAACATGCAAGAGCAGGAGTAAGCATCTGAACCCCCAGAGATCAGAACTACCACCTCTCAGATATCCTACAGTCCACAAGGAGTAAGTAAAGGAACACAGGATGCCTGACATCCCTTGGTGTGGGTGGTGAGGAGGGCACCAAAGGGTGGGAATGGGTGTTGGGAGAGACTTCCCAGAAGTGAGTCCTGACGGAAATACAAATAACCATGTGTGGAGAACAGACAGGATTCCATTCAGAGGGACCACCTTGTCGGAGTTGTGTGATGGGAAAGGCAGGTGAGGGCATGGGAAAGGAAATCAATGAAAAAAACTTATTATCACTTGAAGTCTACTCCTGGTCCACAGTTGGGATTTTATGTGTGGAGTAAAATCGATGTTAGTCCTCTAAAAAGAGGGGATGGAAACAGGTTTTAGCAAAAATTGAGATGGGAAGTCAAAGGATTTAAAAATAATTGGTGTGATGGATGAAGCTTTGAGAGAGGTTTCCTAAGTTTCTCACTCAAAAGCTTGTAAGTAAGGCTCCCTTTGCCGTGGAGGAAAGAGGAAGGGGATTCCTTCATTCTCTGCCCTATTGACATTTGTAGAAAACACCCCTAGTGTGAGGGGCTCTGATCTTTTTCAAGATTCTTTTGGCTACTCTGTGCCCCTCATATTTCCAGATGAATTTTGGAATTAGCTTGCCAATTTGTGCAAAACCACGTCAAATAAAAATCAGAGCAACTGAAAGTATGATAATGAGTGCCTTGAATCTGTACAACGTTTGAAAGGAGTATTGCCAACTTCATAACATTAAGTAATCCAAATTGTGAACATGGAATGTCTTTCCAATTATTTCGGTCAATTTAATTTTTACCAATGATGTTTTGTAGGCTTTAGTGTATACTTCTTGTTGTGCTTTTGTTAATTTTAGTATTTTAGGGTTTTTCTGAAAGTATTATAAATGATAGCTTCCTAATTTTTTTTCAAGTTATTTATTACTAGGATATAGGTAGACGATTGGATTTTGTACATTGACCTTATATCCTGCAATCCACTGAACTCAATAATTAATTGTAAAACTCTTTCTATGTTGATACCTCAAGATTTTCGATATACGGAATGATTTTATCTGAAAATAGAGTTGTACTTTCTTTCAAATTTTGATGGTCTTTATTTATTTTTACTTAATTTTGGTAATTTGAATCTTCAGTACATTGTTGGCTAGAGATGGTTAAGAGCACACATCGTTCTCTGACTACTGATCTTGGGGTGTAATTACAATAGGTGTAATGACACATTCTTAGATCATAGGGCCTACTGAGTCCTTGCTCTTGTAGTACGAGCTTAGTGTGAAACACATAGACAATTCTCAACTTCAGTTGTACTGGACTCTAACCACCCCCCACCCCAGAGTAGTTTCATTTCTGATATCAATCAAGACAGAGTTAACTTCCTTGTCCTGGCCTCAGGAAGTGGCAGCCATTAGACAGAAAGAGCAAACCAGGCCAGGGTTTGCTGCGGGGAGGGCTGTGATTCCTGTGTGGGGTAGTGAGGGGTAGTGGTGATGGTGGCAGTGAGGGGATCCCCCTTGGGCTCTGAAAATGGTCAGGACTTTGTTTCTTAGCTCACTTTCTCTGACTGCCTTTTCTTTGCCTTTCACCAGAATTCATCCCATCTCTCAGAGGATCCAGGATTTGAGGTGAGTGACAGGGAAAGATAACTCCCTAGTGGTCAGAGGAGGGGAGCACAACCCTATTCTGTTGTGCTTCTATTGTGTTTCTTTTGGGGAAATGACCTTTCAAGAATACAAGTCTCCAAAAGAAATTGCCAGTGAATTGAGGGCTCATTCTAATAATTAGAGGGAATTACCTATCCACTAACTCTAGCTGAATGCTGGTGTTAGTTCTCCAGCACTGTCAATTAAAAGGAAAGCTCCCTCTAATCTTCTTCCTGCCTCATCTTTTCTCCTCACAAACTCTAAGCAGTGGGAATCCAGGTTCCCTGAGCAGTTACAGCAGCAGGAGAAGGATAGACTTCTTTGCTCCTAGTCACTCCTGCGGTTGCTGTCTCTCAGGTCCTCGCTGGTGGACACTAGGGGCTCCAGGATCCACCATCGCAAACTTCCCACCTCCTGCACATGCTAGGTCCTGCAAACTCCCTTGGTTCTAGTCACCCTGACTCCTCCTAGGAGACAGTTCGTGGCCCAGAGAAGAGAAAGACCCCTTCCTGGGTCTCCAAACTCTCTTCCCACTGACCCTGCCAAGCTCTTGCCAAGTCTCTTTCCCTCGGGCCAGGGAAGATGACAGAAAGAGCAAGGTTTCTTCTGGTGGCCCTGCTGACTTTATCACCATCCTGCTGGTATTTCCACTGAGAAATTCCACACTATATATTTTTTCCTTTGTGTTTGGGAATCTATCAAGAGAATCTGGGGTATAGGTTGGAGTTGAGTCAAATGTGATCGTCTCTATGGAATCCTTCATGACTGCCCACTTAAATACCCAAGTGTTAGGACCACTTATAAAGAAATGTTGGGTTGTCAAAAAAGTCATGATGCATTTTGCATAGAAAACAGAAAAATAGGGCCTCCCCGGTGGCGCAGTGGTTGAGCACTGAGTTGCGAAGCTGCCCGCAGCCTCTGCAGCACCGGTTCGATCCCTGGCTGTTCCCCGGCCACCGGAGGAGGGTCCCACATGGCGCGCAGACCTCTCCTGCCGCCCACTGCTCCCCTCAGCAGTGTCTTTCTGTCCTTCTGCCTCCTCTGCTCCCCGCTCTGGCTCTGGTGAATTCTCTCACCCTCCTGTGCTTCTGACTGTACCCAGTGCTTGTATAAATAAATAAATAAATCTTTAAAAACAAACAAACAAACAAACAAAAAAACCCAGAAAAATACTTGGCCCTCTCCACTGGCTCAGGGGGTTAAACCGCAACGCTATGAATCTATGCGCAGCCACCGCAGCACAAGTTCGACCCCCAACCAGGGACGTGACCCAGATAATGCAGCAGACCTCCCCTATCTGGCCTGCTGCCCCCCTCAGCAGTGTACTTTGGTCTGTCTGCCTGTTCTGTTCCCCACTCTGTCTCTGGTAAGTCCTCGCACTCCCTGCATTTCTGGCTTGTACCCCAGTTTTTGTATGCATAAATAAATAAATCTTTAAAAAAAAAGAAAACAAAAATACTTCATGACTTTTCCAACAATCCAATAATTCAGTGCTAATTATTCTTGGTGTTCATTAGAGTGGAAAAGAATTTGTTTCACACTCCGAAATTGAGTTCTCTTTCTCTTGCTGCAACTTTTATGAGAAAGCCTGTCTTGCATCTCCATTTCTGCTGGTGCTTGCTGGCTGCACAGAACATTCTGCAATGCTGGACTGTCCTATATCTAGTCCCATTGAGCCACAGCCATATGCAGATCATCTGCAATGTTCATGGAAACCGAAAAACTGAATTTTAAATTTTATTTAACTTCTATTAATTCAAATTGAAGTAGCCATTTTTATAGGGATCACCGTATCCTGCAACACCATTACATGTTATATCTCTTCTAAATATCAGTTCATTTCTTTTCCCCAGAGGGCCTTCTCTTGTGAGATGTATTTTCACTGAGAAAAATTCTGACTGCTTCTTTCTCCCTTTAGACCCAAAATTGGAGCTTTTCAGGAAGAGTCATATTCTTAGCGTCAGATATCAAAAAATTGAGGGAGGAAGCCACGTGCTCAATCTGCCAGCAGCTGATGAGGGACCCAGTGAGCATTAGGTGTGGGCACACCTTCTGCCGCCTGTGCATAGAGGACGACTTTCAAGACCAGCACCATATTGTCAGAGCACTGGGGTTCATCAGCTGTCCCCAGTGCTGTATTATGTTTTCAAGGGCAACCATGCATCACAACGAGCATGTTGAAAGACTCCTTGAATACATCACCACATTGTGTGAGGAACACGGAGACCCGCTCCACCTGTTCTGTGAGGATGACGGGCACCCCATTTGCTGGCGCTGTACACAGTCCCCACAGCACAGAGAGCACAACACGGCTCTTGTTGAAGATGTATACCCAGGTTACAAGGTGAGTGAGCTGGCCAGAGGACTTCAGCAAGTACCCGCTCTCATGTAGCTTCCCAACACCTCAGATTATTTAGCCTTTTTTTTTGTAAAGTTTTATTTATATGTACAACAACTGGGGTACAATCCAGAGGTGGGGGGGTGCGGTGAGAGGATTCACCAGAGACAGAGTGGATAACAGAACAGGTAGACTTACTGAAATACACTTCTGAGGGGAGCAGTGGGTGAGTCAGGGGAGGTCTGCTGTGCCATGTGGGTCTTTCCCTGGTTGTGGATCGAACTCATGATGCAGTGACTGTGGATAGCTTTACAGGTTGTGTCTTATCCCCTTGCACCACCAGGGAGGCCGTCAGATTATTTAGTTTTAAACCTGAAATTATGGGCCTCCCTGGTGGCCTTGGGGTTAAGTCTCAGTGCTATCACTGTCATGACCTAAATTCGATCCCCAGCCAGTGAGCTAACCTACATAAGGCACAGCAGACCACTCCTGTCTTTCCCACACTCCCCTTAGCAGTGTAGTTCAGTCAATCCACCAGTTCTGCTCCCCACTCTGTCTATGGTGAATCCTCTCAACCTTACACCTCTGGCCAATACCCCAGTTCTTCTACTCAAAAATAAATTAAAAAAAAAAAATGTCAGACCTCTTTGCTCTGTAACATTTCTAATAACATCTGCTGAGCTTTCCTAACTCATCATAAAATGTGCAAAACTTCATGGGTGACAATCCATTTATCATTGGTTTTGTGTGGTTCATACAATATACTACAATATCTTATTCTACATTGCTATTATCTTGTTCTATATGTAACATTTCCAGGGCAAGACTGAAGTGAGAATGTAGCTCAGGCCCTGGGTCAGCAGATGAGCTTGGAATCACAGCTTAGTCACCTACCAAGCAAGAGGGTCTCTTCCTTGGGTTACTTAACACCTTCTTAAGCCTCAGGCTCTACAGCACATAAAAATGTTAAAATATCTGGACCTCCCTGGTGGCGCAGCGGTTAAGCGCTGGGTTGCGAAGCTGCCCGCGGCCTCTGCAGTGCCGGTTCGATCTCCGCTGCTCCCCCGCCACCAGAGGAGGGTCCCACATGGCGCGCAGACCTCTCCTGCCGCCCGCTGCTCCCCTCAGCAGTGTACTTCGCTCCTTCTGCCTGCTCTGCTCCCCGCTCTGGCTCTGGTGAATTATCTCACCCTCCCACACTTCTGACTATACCCAGTGCTTGTATAAACAAACAAACAAACAAACAAACAAATAAACATGCCTCTAAAAAAAAAATGTTAAAATATCTCAAGTGCGCAGGAGTACTAAGAGGGTCAAATATGCTACCTTCATAGACAGCCTGCAGCATGCTTCCTCTCAAAGTATAAGGTATAAGGACTTAATAAATATTCAGTGTATTCTGATAGTCTTGCAAGGGGGGATTCCACACAGGTATCAAATAATTGCTAAATTGAATAACTGGTATCCACTCAATTTTTCCATCAGGAAGAGCTCCAGGAAGTTTTGACAAAACTGACGGCACTACAAGGCCAATGTAGGAGCTGGGCGTTAATCACAAGAGAACAAATAGAAGAATGGGAGGTAAGAATTCAAGATGACCTCAAAATATTTCCATCCTACAGCTTAAACATAGGGATAATGGGCAAAGTGCAATAATGGCTTACTCTCACTAAATAAGACAAGTAGATGAAATGCAGATAAGAAACATGATTGGTTTTTTATGCCACTGGTTGTCTTCAGCTGTAGGACTGTATCTCCAATTCCCTCAACCTTCCAATAAGAATTGACTAGAGGGCCTCCTTGGTGGCACAAGGGGTTAAGATGCAACCTAAGAAGCTACCCACAACTGCTGCAGCAAGAGTTTGATCCCCCAGCCTGGGAGCTACCCACATGGCGCAGCAGACCTCTCCTGTCTCGCCCGCTGCTCCCCTCAGCAGTGTATTTCAGTCAATCCGCCTGTTTTGTTCCCTACTCTGTCTCTGATGAATCCTCTCACCTCCCACACCTCTAGCCTATACCCCAGTTCTTGTATACATAAATAAATAAATCTTAAAAAAAAAAAAGAGTTGACTAGGATCCCACTACTTCAGTCAGGAGCAACAGAAGTGGTGTGCCTCCTTACCTAGAAACCACCCTTGGCTAGGTTTCAAATATTAAACCACTAAAAGCTTCTCCTGCTTTGAAGACCTTACGCTGCCATGCTAGCACATTTCCCACAGTACAGGCTCTGCACTCAGCCCTCCAGGTCAGCAACCACCTATGTGAGCATGAAACCAGGGTTACTCCAGCTGACATTATGTTACTCAACTCATGAGAAGCTTCAAGAACATACACATTTGCACACTTGGGTCTCTAACACTGTCTCCATGGTTGACCAGCCTCCCCAGGATCAGAGACACATTCCTTCATGGATATATTAAAGTAATCCATCAGTCTGCATCCAAGTTCTGCAGGTCTGCAAACTATTCCAACCTCATCCTGATCCTTAGCATGTGGATGTCAAAATTGAATTCTCAGAGGACCCTCTTTGTACCCTCTGGGTAACTGAGAGGGCTTTGTTTGTAACTACCATGTAGGGATGCCCAGCAATACAAGAGTTAGTAAGCTGTCCCACACACAAGTTCCACTTCATCTTAAATCAGTCACCCTTCTGTCACAACATCACTGCAGGAATTGAGAAAGCACCAATAGAAATTTCAACTCTATATTTTGATCCCAAAATCAAAGCTGGCACTCACAGGATCAAGCCTTTGATATTTTTTTTTTTCAGTTTTATCCATAAAGATAATTAAGTGGCCCCGTGGTTGGTAAATGAATGATTCTGGTAACTCTGATCAAAGCCTGTCACCCAAACCTCCCCCCTGATGAGAATCACATACTCACCTACCAGTCTGAGTGCCCTAAAGTCCAGACTTGGTTATGTTCCTTTCTAATGTTTGCTTCACAAAATTACCTCAGGGACAGGGAGAGCTCATGCATCCAAATAAAATCTCCTTGTTATCTTTACAATGTGAAAGTGTTGACCTTGGACATTGTCCGTGATCCAAATATCTAGCCCTCCCTCCCCTCCTTTCTCACTTCATCTTGACTGAAAGGACACTCACCAGATGATTATGGAGAATTGTGACAGCTTCTCCCACATCTAAGAGGTTGCCCCCAAAGTTGACTTGGTAGCAGGCAAGTGGGATATACTTGCGGCTCCAATGACTCATGGGAAAATAATGTTACAGTAGAGGAGCAAACCTTTTGTGTGTGTCTGTGTTAAAATACCCGTAACAGGGGCCTCCCTGGTGGCACAAGGGATTAAGTCTCAGCACTATGAAGCTTCCGCAGTCTCTGCAGCATGAGTTCGATCTCCAGCAAGGGAGCTGACCCACTGGCTCAGCAGACCTCTCCTGTCTCTCCCGCTGCTCCCTTCAGCAGTGTGTTTCGGTAGATGTGCCTGTTCTGCTCCCCACTCTGTCTCTGGTGAATCCTCTTACTCCCCACACCTTGGGCCTGTACCCCAGTTCTTGTATGTATAAATAAATAAATCTTTAAAAATATGCATAACATAAATTTTACCATTTTAAGTATACAGTTAGTTCAGTGGCACTGAAAACATTAACATTGTGGGGCCTCCCCGGTGGCGTAGCGGTTGAGCGCTGGGTTGCGAAGCTGCCCACAGCCTCTGCAGCGCCAGTTCGATCCCCGGCAGCTCCCCGGCCACCAGAGGAGGGTCCCACATGGCGTGCAGACCTCTTCTGCCGCCCGCTGCTCCCCTTAGCAGTGTACTTCCATCCTTCTGCCTGCTCTGCTCCCCGCTCTGGCTCTGGTGAAATCTCTCACCCTCCCGCGCTTCTGACTGTACCCAGTGCTTGTATAAATAAATAAATAAATAAATCTAAAAAAAAAAAACCAACAAAACCAAAACATTAACATTGTGTTACAACAGTTACAACACTCCAACTGCAGAACTTCTTGATCATTCCAATCTGTAACTCTAACCCATTAAGAAAATTCTCTGTTGCTTCCTCCTCTCTACTCCTATTTTGGGATAGTTTTATTATGATTTGAGGTTGACATTCATACAGGCACCTTTTGTAAGAAAAATATATGAATTTGTTCCATTATTACCATCTGGAGGTAAAACAATGAAACACAAGGGAAAGACACACAAACATGAAGACAGATAGAACAGTGGTCTCTTGGCTTTAAGCCAGACCAAAACGATACCACTTAGTGGCGTGGGCCATGCTACCCATGCTGTCTGACATGGAACATAGAAAGGAACATAACCAAGTCTGGACTTTAGGGCATTCAGACTGGTAGGTGAGTATGTGATTCTCATCAGGGGGGAGGTTTGGGTTCAGACTGGTAGGTGAGTATGTGATTCTCATCAGGGGGGAGGTTTGGGTGACAGGCTTTGATCAGAGTTACCAGAATCATTCATTTACCAACCACGGGGCCACTTAATTATCTTTATGGATAAAACTGAAAAAAAAAAATATCAAAGGTCCGGGCATGGGGGAGATTCCTGAAAAGTCGGGAAACTCCGTAGCTGGCTCCTGCTACTTCCTTGCATTTGTTTGTGGCAGTTATTGAAACCATGGAAATTTTCTATAAGCTTCAGAATAACACAATGAGTTTTGGCATTAATGCCAGTTTTGGTAATGCACACTTCAGTAGTTTGAGAAATGTACCTTCCAACATGATTGATCATGAAACAATTCCCAGTAATTCTCCACATCCTCCAATTTGTAATTCAGTTACCATGAGTAACACTGAGTTCTTTAACAAGCCATGCTTGATAGAGCTGTTGGTACCAAGTCAGGTAAAAGTCCCCACAAAGAAGGACCTGAGGCACTCGGGGAGGTGAAATGGTCCGAGAAAAACATGCCACATACTGTTCCCATGGTACCGGGACCCTTTGGTTCTATATAGAAAATAGGAAGCCGCCCTACATCTTACAATGCCTGCTCAGCCTTGTTTTAGTTACCTAGCTTGACTGCGTAAATCACACCGTGTAGGGCCTCCCCGGTGGCGCAGTGGTTGAGCACTGGGCTGTGAAGCTGCCCACAGCCTCTGCAGCGCCAGTTTGATCCCCGGCTGCTCCCCGGCCACCGGAGGAGGGTCCCACATGGCGCGCAGACCTCTCCTGCCGCCTGCTGCTCCCCTCAGCAGTGTGCTTCGGTCCTTCTGCCTGCTCTGCTCCCCGCTCTGGCTCTGGTGAATTCTCTCACCCTCCCGCGCTTCTGACTGTACCCAGTGCTTGTATAAATAAATAAATAAATCTTTTAAAATAAATAAATAAATAAATCACACCGTGTATACCGTGTATAGCACCTGTTTCTACTTTCTGAATAACATACATCACCTAGGGAAATAATGTAACCAAGTTAATGTAACCAAGCAACCAAGTTAATCATAGATTCGGAAAATTAAGAATGGCCCGTGCACTGATTGATGATCAAAAATAAATTCTGAAACAAGGTAAAAGTAAAATCACATGATTGCATGATGTAATGATCAAATAACAATTTCTGATGCATAAATGAAGCCCCGAGGAGGCTATCAGCAGGAGATGTCTGCACCCTGATCAAGTGTCAGTGTCTCCTCATTCCCTCACTACCTCATTCCCTCCGTTCCACCGAACCGACGCTGTCTCGTCCTTCAGGGACCCAGCCCTGGTCGGAGCTGGACTCCGGCAACTTAGGGCTAGAACCCAGGTGTTTCCTGGCATACAACCAAGGACCAGGCCTGGATCACCTCCGCAACTGTCCTTTTTTAATGTCCATATTTCTTATAACTCTAACCCAAATTTACACAAGACTGGTTCTCTGACATGCCAGGATCTCTGTTAGTGTGGTCCTTTAACCCACAAGCCTTATGAGACCAATAAGAAAATCAGGTGCAAGCACAATGTAACAAGTTTACTTGCCAAAGAGTTATCTGATGTCAGGAACCCAGGACTATTTCTTTTCTCAAAATAAAAATAGCTCCAAGGGTGGTGTCAGGAGCACCAGAGTGGGGCAGGGAGTCCAATCGTGCAGCCTCTGGACACAAAGGTCTAGGTGGCTACTTTGAATTTGCTCCTGGCTGGGCCTACAGAGTCTTGGGCAGGCAATCCTACCTGCAGGGCTACTTTGTTACCTAACAAGGTACTCATTGTCCAACATGTGTAAAAAAACAATTACCTTGGTGCCAGGTTTTGAGAAAACAATTTTATTGCAAATCATTTGGCAAGGAAGCAGGAGAAAAAGATAAATCTGCCTTCCTAAATAAGAAAGGGAATGATATTTGGAAACCAGGGTTGAGAACAAAAGAGTGAAATTGTATTGGCTAAAAGGTAGGCTAAGGGCAAACAAGTGTGGATTTGGCTAAAATTCACTGGCTAGTTACAGGGCAGTTCATGCTCAAGCTCATGAGCTGCTGTAAGAACAGACACACTTACACTGCAGACTGTGGCCCTCTGCTGGGAGAAGTATGAAGTATGAAGAAGCTTTCCTTAAGATAATTGGAATTTTGAATTTCTGTTGGTGGGCCCTTTGCCTGTGGCAAGGACTGTGTTATACTGTCTCTTAGCTTAGTCCAGCCTGGGGCTCATGCAAGATTAGTCACTTGTGTGTATGCTGAGGTTGTATCATTTGCTGATAACTATCCAAGCTGCCCTTGGTCTGAATGCAAATCTCAGGGGGAAAAGATCAGATTAGTTGTCTTTTTTCTTTGTTCCCTACGTGCTTTCTATGTGCTCTATGGTCTGAGAGTAATTTAACCATTTAACCTTAGTTACACTTTCTGTCTATAAATTTTACAAGATACCTCATATAAAGTAGAATCATAAAATTTCAGTCCTTTCATTTCTGGCTGCTTCATACCTTGTCTTACCATAATGTCTTCAAATACACCCATATTGTAGCATGTTTCAGACTTTTCTTTCTTTCTACGAGGGTATAGTATTCCGCTGTACTTAACATACTACATTTTCTTTATCAATTCATCCATTGATGGACATTTGGTTTGTTCCTGCCACTTGAACTTACATTCATGATTCCAGGAGAAGACAGAACTTCAGAAACAAAAAATCCAGTGTGATTTTGAGAAGCTCCACATCTTCCTTCGTGAAAAAGAGAACTATTATCTTCAGGAATTAGAGAAAGAAAAAAACCAGACCCTGAACACACTGCGGGACAGTGAAGCCAGTCTGGCAAAGCAAAATGATGAAATTGATAGTCACATCCTGGAACTAGAGAAGAAATGTCAGGGCTCAGCCCAGAAGTTGCTTCAGGTGAGACTGTGTACTTGGTGGAAAGAGAGAAGGTGGCTGTTCCTGAGTTATTAAGAGGAGAATGGTGAGGAAACCTGCATGTGTTACTCAAAAGTGGCACAGTCGTGTGAGGAAGTTAAAGTCCTGCTTCTTTTGGACGCTCTTCTCTAGCTACTGGAGGAGTGTGATCTCCTCCAGGTTTAAGGTGAATCAGAAAACATATATCCCCTCTGGCTCTATATGATGGACCATAGACCTAATAAAACCAGAAGATAGCTGTTACCAACAATTCTTACCTCTGTTCATGTGCACAGATCCCTGACTGTCACATTTTCTGCTGGAAGGTTCTTCCAGATGACTGGTGGGTGATAAAGCAGGCAGCCAAAATGAATAACTCTTGCCTGATTTGCTTTTAGAGCCTTGCTCTAAGAGCTCTTCCTGGGCCTTCTCAGCTGCATGAAGCATGCAACCCATTAAGATAAATGTCTGAAGGTGCTTCTTCTCGTTCCCACTATAGACTGAACGTCACTCTGTGAGGTTGAGAATGCAGCATAAGTGATCCACTGTCAAGTTACACCTGCTGTCAGGGGTTACTGACATCTTAGTGGCCTATTTTACCACCTTAATGGCCTCTTTCAGGGGCTCTGCCTGCATCCCCTACTAAGGAATCCACAGAGCTGAATGGAATGTCCCACTACTCTGTGATAAATGGTCTCTAACATGGGATCACTCTGAAGGAAATTAGATAAGTGAAAGCAAGGCTTGCCAGAGGAAGGATGGCTGTGCTACTTCCCTCTCCTGAAGCAGCCACAGGCACTGCAGCACCCCACATGCCCCAGCAAGAAGAGAACAGACTCATAAGTTCATAAATGTGCTGCCATGGTGAACATCCTGGGATGGGAATCATTCTGCTTGGGTTTCTAGCAGTCTCTAAGGCTGGTACTTTGGAAGGAGAGTTTATAGACACTAGCCATATTGCCATGTCCCATGAAATAGTGATATGCCCTTTTGTCTTTGTTTCTCTGTAGGACGTAAAAGACACCTTGAGCAGGTAAGTGTGGTATAGATGCAGGAGGGAAGTGTTATGAATTCATAGAGCTGAATGGAATGTTCCGCTGAACATAATCTCTGTCCTCTGCTGACTGTAGGAGTTCAGCTGTGAAGTTGGAAGTCCCAGAGGCCATCTCTTTGGAGCTTTACACTGAGTGTGACTTTTCTAAGGTTTGCTCTGATATGAAGAAAACATTCCTGGCTCCTGATCGGGATGGCAGTGTTGTGAAGCACAGCGCCCATCAGGGCCCGAAGGGGGTGGGTTTAGGGCCTGAAATGAATGGCTGTTCTTCTCCCCAGAACCAGCTCAGACTTCCTCCCCACTTCAGGATTAGGAGGCTCTACTGGCCTCCACGGGAGCAAAGCCACTCCGGAAGCCCCAGCACCACAGCCAGCAGCACACACCCCAGCACCGCCTTCAGTCCTTGCCAGGAAGCCTCTCAGGAGGAGACCCAGTGAAGGCTCCCCTGCAGGCTGCTCTGGCAGGGTTGCCACAGCTCTGAGCCTGGAGAAAACAGCTCCAGATCCCTCGGTAGGGGGCAGTGTTTCCACCCTGAGAGACTAGTGACTGTTCCTGGCCTGCAAGGAGACTTGACATGACTATGCAGCAGAGTTCACAGACTCGTAGGGGAAGCTGCATCTGATGGGGCACGGTGATGCTAAGGGCTAAGGACACTGCTCTGGTGGAGACTTTGCTGCGAGGCCTGGGAGCTCCTCAGGACGGTGAGGAGAGGCTGCATTCTGGAGCACCTGCCCCCAGACAGCACCCAGGATCCACAGTCTGGGCAGGCCACAGGACCTGCATCTCAAAATGGCCTCCTTAAAAAAACTCAGACACCATTGTGATCTTCATGACAGTTCCCATCCAGGCTTTTGTCAGCTTGGACATCAGTCAGCTGGAGAATGAATGCACCTAATGAAACAGAATCATAGATATCTGGCGCGAGCCATGCTACTCATGTCTTCTGACAAAGGTCCGGGCATGGGGCAGATTCCTAAAAAGTCAGGACTCTTGATAGCTGACTCCTGCTAGAGTCTTCTCATTTGTTTATGGCTTTTCTGTATGTGGCAATTGTTACCCATTTAAAAGTAAAACTGCAAATGCTGTATGACCAATTACTGAATAACTAATTTGACAACAATGGCACTGCATGATGCAAACAGTACATTCTTAAACAATTAATAAGCTTCTGCCTGAAGGCAGTGATTCAGAATTGGTTTTATTGTAACAAGTGATATGTCACACCTAAAATCTTCTGGAAACTAAAGGCTGTAAACATTCCCGGCCAAGTCTTTGATACAGATTTGTGGTCTTTTAAGGCAGAGGCCATCTGGAGAGGAGTTTTGAAGTTAGAGATAGCAGTTAGTTAACAAGATAATTAAGGAAGTAATAGGTAAAAATATTGCCTTGAGAAAGTAAAAGGAGTTTCCCTCTTTCTTTTGAAGCTTGGAGTCAGAAAAAATGTCAGTGCAACTTATGCGGCACTGGGATTCTTTGGGTTTTTTGATTCTTTACTACTTTTATTAAATTAGAATAGATTAGTTATAGGAATGAAAAGTTTTTGATTTTAGCAGTAATTGGATTTGATTACCAATACATAAGGTAATTATGTTTTTTAATATTTAAGATTTGGGAATTTTATAAATTTTGATTAATTAGTAATTTAGCAGTTATAAAGGAGTTAAGTTTTAGTCATATACGTTTTTTGTTGTTTTGCTGTTTTTAGCATTAACAGAATGATTACTGGGCAGTAGAAAATAAATGATCATTAGGGGACATTTTGTGTGGTAATTGTATTTACCCTTAGAACAAAGTGAAATGGCTGTAATCACCTCAGCAAGGGGTCACAGGACCCAAGGCTGGTTTTGAAAAAATGCCAGGGTTGTTAGTCTTTTTTTTACTTGAAATTTTTTTTACTTGAAAGCACACGCTTATGTACTCCCGCGCCTTGCTCGAGATGTATAAAGAGCTGCCGAGACCCTCGGCAGGAGATACTTGCACCCTGATCAAGTGTCTGTGTCTCCTCATTCCCTTTCGCCCTCAGCCACTCAGATTTGTCTACCCTGTCTGTCCTTGCAGGAACCCCTGACACGACATTTTGTCAGAGCTGCTTCCGGCAAGATTTTATTATAGACATTTTCCTTCAAGGTCTGAGACTTTTTTTCCAATGTGCTCAGTCATCAATGGACATTGAACTTAGCAATGAGTTACTTGCATTATTCATAGGATCACGTGGTCTCTTTTCTCGAATCTGATAATATGACATTTATGTTGATTACTCTGTAGTAGTAAACTATTATATATTATATATTATTTGATACCCAAATATCAAGGTGTCTTGAAAATCATAATCATACTGCAATTCTGTTGCCACTTAAGGGTCGGTTGCATGGAGTATTTAACAAATAATCCATTACCCAAACAGGAATCCTGATGTTAGAAAATAAAGAAAATTGGGCCTCCCTGGTGGTACAGGGGTTAAGACTCAATCTCTGAACCTCGTCAGCCTCTGCAGCATGAGTTTGATCCCCGGCCAGGGAGCCACCCACATGGTGCGGCAAACCTCTCTTGACTCGCCCACTTCTCCCCTCAGCAGTGTATTTCAGTCAGTCTGCCTGTTCTGCTCCCCACTCTGTCTCTGGTGAATCCTCTCACCCCCCACAACTCTGGCCTCTACTCCAGTTCTTTTATTTATAAATAAATAAATCTTCTTTGCGAATAATTTTATTTTATAAAATTCTTACATCATTTTTCATTTTTGCATAATGTATGCATTTTCATTTTGGTTATATTCCCCATACAATTCCCACCCCCTTTTTCTGACCTTAATTCCTCTTCTCCTCCCCTCAGCCCCCACTGTAGTGTGTCTCTGGTCTATAGTTGCTTGTTGATTTTGGTTTTTACTTTATTGCAATTAGTCTTTTTCCTGGTCCCTTATTTAGGTTTTCTAAATTCCTGCTATGACTGAGACCATCCGTTATTATTTTTTTTCTTTCTGGTTTATTTCGTTGAGCATAATCGTTCCAACTCCATCCATGTTGCTGCAAATTGTATGAGTTTATCTTTTTTGATTGCTGAGTAATATTCCATTGTGTATATATACCACATATTCTTGGTCCAGAGTGCAAATTGGTCCAACCACTGTGGAAAGCTGTGTGGAGATTTCTTGACCTACTAAAGATAGAGCTTCCATATGATCCAGCAACTCCAATCCTAGTATTTACCCAAAGGACACAGAAACAGTAATTCAAAAGGCACCTGCACCCCTATGTTTATAGCAGCACTATTTACAATAGCTAAGCTATGGAAACTACCCCAATGCTCATAAATAAATAAATCTTTTTAAAAAAAACAGAAAATTTAGCTGCCATCTATACCCTGATAGCATTGTGACCTTGGCTGGAGTAAGAATGAAGACACTTGTTAGGTAGTTGTGGAGAGACTGCCCACACATTAGACCTCCTCACATATAAAGTGAGACATACTTTCTTGTTTTTTTGCTTTTTTTTTTTAAAGAGGCATGTATTTTTACTTATTTATTTATTTGTTTGTTTTTTTTTTTTTTTTCCTTTGTTTGTTTATACATGCACTGGGTACAGTCAGAAGCGCGGGAGGGTGAGAGAATTCACCAGAGCCAGAGCGGGGAGCAGAGCAGGCAGAAGGACCGAAGCACACTGCTGAGGGGAGCAGCGGGCGGCAGGAGAGGTCTGTGCGCCATGTGGGACCCTCCTCCGGTGGCCGGGGAGCAGCCGGGGATCGAACCGGTGCTGCAGAGGCTGTGGGCAGCTTCGCAACCCAGCTTTCAACCGCTGCGCCACCGGGGAGGCCCGAGACATACTTTCTTGTTAATGGCACCTCTGCAGGCACCTTCCTTCCCGTTACTCTAACCAGCTCTCTGATGATAACATTGTGTGTTAGCTCCTCACCTTGGCTCCTGGATCTTTGTCTGATTGATATTGAAAACATCCAAGTTTATGTATCTTCATATTATGATTTAGAAGCATTTTATTTTCTGATAATTTTATCAATCTCTTTATTACTGGTTTCTAACCTCTCTTTTTAGGTCAGAGATCATGGTCATGTGAATTAGATTTATTGAAATTTGTTCAGACTTACTTTCTGGCTAGTCTTCGATGGCAAGTATTCCAAATGTGACTAGAAATGTGTGTGTTATCCACTTATTAATTGCTGGGCCTATATATGTCTATTAGCTTTAGATTGTTGCCTTGTTGGAATCTTCCATATCTTCAATATTTTTTGTCTGTTGATCCATATATTAAAGAGAGAAAATGTTAAAACGTCTCTTAATTGTAGATTTTATTGCTCCTTAGAATTTTGTAATTTTTACTTTATTTTCAGACTATGTTACTAAAACAAACATGTTTCGAATTGTGATTTTTTTTCTGGTGAGTTGTATTTTTTTAAGGATTTATTTTCATTTATGCATACAAAAAACTAGGGCGTAGGCCAGAGGTGGGAGGGGGGTGAGAGGATTCACCAGAGACAGAGTGGGGAGCACAGCAGGCCGATCCACTGAATTACACTGCTGAGGGGAGCAGCAGGCAAGACATGAGAGGTCTGCTGCGCCATGTGGGCAGCTCCCCGGCCAGGTATCAAACTCTTGCTGCAGTGGCTGTGGATAGCTTCACAGTGCTGAGACTTAATCCCTTGTGCCACCAGAGGGGCCCAGGGAGCATCTTTAAACAGTAGGTCACAGTAATCATTGACAGGATTTTACGGAATTCTGGTGGTGATTGCTCCCCATAAAGGGTGCACTCAGAGTGCCAGTTTTTTTTTTTTTTTTTTTTTTTAAAAACTCCCGGGCCTCCCCGGTGGCGCAGCGGTTGAGCGCTGGGTTGCGAAGCTGCCCGCGGCCTCTGCGGCACCGGTTCGATCCCCGGCTGCTCCCCGGCCACTGGAGGAGGGTCCCACATGGTGCGCAGGCCTCTCCTGCCACGCCTGCTGCTCCCCTCAGCAGTATATTTCGTCCATCTGCCAGTTCTGTTCCCTGCTCTGGCTCTGGTGAATTCTCTCACCCTCCCGCGCTTCTGACTGTACCCAGTGCATGTATAAACAAAAACAAAACAAAACAAACAAATAAATAAAACATGCCTCTCTAAAAAAAAAAAAAAAAAAAAACCCTCCCGTAAGCCACTCACCAGTCTGGGAATCTGATTTCCTGCAACCCACACTCCCAGGGGAAACCTCCCCTCCATCTGGAGGAGATGCACACCCTGGAGGGCTCCCTCTGGTCTCCCCTGAGCTGTTGCAGCACATTACACACATCACCTGAAGCACTAGGCTCACCCCACATTGGGGACATATCTCTGAAGGCTCTTCTGCCTCCCCACTCCCTCTCAGCCCTGAGCGCTGCATGATCCCCTCCATCACACAGTGGTGCCAGGGGGGCAGTGGTTACAGGACAGACCCTGTCATGAGCTTGTCTTTGTCTGGCTGCTGCTGTGGGGGTGGGGGTGGTTGATCCCCTGTGGCATTCCCTTGTCTCTTTTCCTGGACCTTTGACAAGACAACTCGGCTTGAACTGTGCCCGTGTAGTCTCATCCACGATGTGATGGTGGAGACAGATGCCAGGAGTCATCATGGGAACAGGGACCTCTGTCTGTGTTCAAGATGGGCCTCTCCCTTCCCCATGAGGGGCCTGCCCACGAGCTGTGCCAGGTCATGATGAGATTTTAGTTTGTTCCCTCTGTTGTTGCTCTGAAAGAAGGGTGCTGTTCCTACCAGGCCCTCCAGGCAGGATTCCTGAGCTGAAAACCTCTGGCATTTTGACAAGTTTCCTCCCTCTTCTGTCTGGACCCGCCCCCACATCAGTTTCATTTCTGAGTTGACTCTAGTCAGAGGCATTTCCCTTCCACAATACTTGGAGCTGCAGAGAGACTCGCAGAGATTTTGTGACTGACTGCCGTGTGTGGAGGAGTGCAAAGTCCAGGCCAAGGTTTGCTCTGGGGTGGACAGTGATTTCTGTGTGTGTGTGTGTGGTGGGTATGGGTGGTGGGTGGCAATAAGGACCTCCACCAACTGTGAAAATATAAAGTGAGGGAGACGGTCACCTCCCTTGTGCCCAGGACACAAGGGAGGCCTTGGCTCTTCCTAAAACTTCTAAAGAGTATCTATAGGCAGAGAAAAATAACCAGGATTTTCCAGAGTGAAGGACAGAAGGACCTGACCCTCTGAGTCGGCACAGGTGTTGAAATTTTCTCTCTGGAGAAGACTTGCAACTCTCTCCAGCTCTCCTGCCGGGTGGGGTCTCCATGGAAACGGGACTAACCTTTTTCTTAGAGGGTTTTAGTGGGGTCCAGAGACCAACATGGGAGTTTGAGGACAGTCAAGTGGGACTGACCCCATGGACTCTGTTTGCCAACATTCATGTCAGTGTTGCTGGCAGAACATAGAAGTCACTCAGGGCTGACTTCTCCTGAAGCTCTTTAGACACAGAGAGAGTTTCACTCTCCCTCCCTGAGTTCTCTTCTCTCATACAACTTTTGTGAGCAAACCTGTCTGCTTCTCTATCTCTACGAGTACCTGCTCCAAGAACATCTCCTGCCATGGTGGAATGTTCTGTGCCTGTGTATGGGGGAATTGGCAGATATTAAGCATTGAATTATGGCTGGTGGGACAGAAACACTGAACTTAAGTTTTATTGAATTCTAATCAATGTAAACTGAATGGGGCAAACATGACAGGGATCGCCCTATTCTACCACACAGGGACAGGTGAGGCATCTTTCAAATTCTAATCCGTTATATCTCCAGAGAGAAGATTTCAACACCTGTGCAGGCTCAGAATCTCAGGTGAGGCTTCTGTCCATCACTCTGGAAAGTCCTGGCTGATACACCTCTGCCTATAGATACTTAGCAGAACTTTGAGGAAGAGCCATGGCCTCATCGCCAGCGATTAGGAAGATGAGGGAGGAAGCCACGTGCTCCATCTGCCAGCAGCTGATGAAGGAGCCCGTGAGCGTCAACTGTGGGCACAGCTTCTGCCGCCAGTGCATAGACAATATCATTGGGCAGCAATATTTTGTGACATCTTTTATTTGGAGGGCTCGCTGTCCCCTGTGCCAAACATCACTTCAGAGGGAGAGTGTCCGACCCAACAAGCACCTTGAAAACCTCATTGAGAACATCCAGGATTTGGAGCGTGAGAGGCTGTGTGAGGAACATGGGGAGCACCTCCACCTATTCTGTGAGGACGACGGGCAGCTCATCTGCTGGTGCTGTGAGCGCTCCCCCCAGCACAGAGGACACCGCACGGCTCTAGTGGAGGACGTATGTTTAGGCTACAAGGTGAGTGAGTGGCCAAACCTTTCAGCAAGTTCTTCCTCTTATGTTGCACATTTTTATTGAAATTACTTAGTCTGAACACCAAGATTGTGACTGCAAAAATGTTGTTTCCATCATGTTATTTTCTGAATAATAATTAATTATGATCCCAGTGAGTCAGGTCATCAATCATTTTCTTCTTTTTTTTTTTTTTTAAGATTTATTTATTTATTTATACATACAAGCATTGGGTACAGTCAGAAGCGCGGGAGGGTGAGAGGATTCACCAGAGCCAGAGCGGGGAGCAGAGCAGGCAGAAGGACCGAAGTACACTGCTGAGGGGAGCAGCGGGCGGCAGGAGAGGTCTGCGCACCATGTGGGACCCTCCTCCGATGGCTGGGGAGCAGCTGGGGATTGAACTGGCGCTGCAGAGGCTGCGGGCAGCTTCACAACCCAGCACTCAACCGCTGCGCCACCAGGGAGGCCCGAGGTCATCACTTTCTATGCTGAACTTTAAGGTTGGGCAGAACCTTTCCTGTAAGAATTTCCTGTAATGAAGTTCCCCTGGACAATAGACTGTGCTCTTTGTCACACCTGCCTCATTCATGGCCTCACCTCAAATACGTAAGTGGAGATACCACAGCGTTCAAGAGCACAGGGAAGAATCTGAAATCCCAGAGGTCAGAACCAACACCTTCTTGATATCCCAGAGTCCACAAGGAGTAAGAAAAGGAACTCAGGACGCCTGACCTTCCTTGGTGTGGGTGGTGAGGGGGGACACTAGGGGCAGGAATGAGTGTGTGAGGGGGAGACTTCCCTGAGTGAGTCCTGAAGGACACACACAATATCACCACGGGCAGAGTGTGGATAAGAGACAGGAAGCCAGATCAGGTGGTTCACTTGTCACGAGAGCTTGCCTGACTCTCCATGGCCCAGTCAGGGGGCTCGTGAGAGGAAAGGCCATTGCGGGCATGGGAAAGGATGTCAGGAAGGATCGTTGGTATTACTCGGAGTCTATACCCCTCCCCAGAGCGGCCTGGGACAGTAGGACTTTATTTGTGGAGGGAAAGATCAGGTTGACATGTAAAAACACATTCTGCGTGGACAAAATAAACAACAAGGACAAAATCTAAGGATTGGAAATGGCAACAGGTATGAGCATAAACTGGGAAGGGGAGTTAGGGATTAAAAATACTTGGTGGGAGGGATGAAGCCTTGAGAGAGACACTTCAATCATTTCCTGTGTTTTTGACACAATAGCTTTTAGCATAAGGGTCCCTTTGCTGTGGAGGAATGAAGAAGTGGGGTTCCTTCCTCTCTGCCCCTTTGACATTTGAAGTAACGTCTCCAGTGTGGGGCTCTGAGTACCCTCATCACTGAGGTGCCTGTGTATTGTGTGAAGGTTCTGGATCCTGTGTCAGGGCATGTCAGCCCTGACCATTGCTCAGTGCACTCACCTCTTCCTGTAACCCCATGAGCAGTCAGGGCTGTAATGGGGCAGGTCTCACTGCTTCTCCCCATGTCATCAAATAGGAGCAACACAAGGTGATGGGTGTAGCCTCAAGAGTCAGACTGCTGAGGTCAAATATTATTTTAGCCTCTTCCCAAGTGGGCAACTGGGAGCAGCTCAGTTCTTGCTTCATGACTTGGTTTCTCCATCTGTAAATGGAGAAAAGGGCTGCCCCCTCCCACCAGACACACACACCAGGAAGTTGTCATAAGTTGTAAGGACATTCTCTAGGTAGAGTTGAGAATAGCACTGTGCTCATAGCAAAAGCAAATCAGTCTTTTGGTATATAGTTTCCTGAGCATTATTTTGAGAGTGTTGTGATGTTATGAGTAGATTTGTGAATTTGCAGAGGGTAGGAGGCAATTCCTTTATTGTGGATGACAATGAGCAGTTTAGTAAGCTTCAGATCCCTTCTCTTGAAAATGTGAGAAAAGGGCGCCTTCCTGGTGGTACAGGGGTTCAAGACTCAGTGCTATCAAGCTATCCCAGCCACTGCAGCATGAGTTCAATTCCTGGCCAGGAAGCAACCCACATGGTGCAGCAGACCTCTCCTCAGCAGTTTCTTTCAATCCATCTGCCTGTTCTGCTCCCCACTCTGTTTCTGGTGAATCCTTTCACCACCCCCCACCCCCCCACATCTCTAACCTACACTCCAGTTCTTGTAGGCATAAATGAATAAAAAATAAATCTTCAGTAAAGAAAAAAGAAAGTGTGAGAAACTTTTGAATAAACCCTAGAGATGGATGTGGACACGAATCACTGTGAGTTGACGTCATGACACTGTTCTCCAGGTGATACAGGTGCCCCCTCATGACCTGGTTCTATAACTTCAACTGCCATCCTGGGCTCTCCTTCCTGACTTGGCGTAACATGTGAAAAGTTCCCTATGTGTCAGGCACTGTGTATTATCTATGATGGGTCCAGCACGTTATTTTACAAAATTTGCTTTTAGATGATTTTAACCTTAAACGATGAGCAGCATTTTCCTAGCTGACTGTAGTGTGGAGTTAGTCCAATCCTTAGTTCTGCGATGAGCTGGGAATCGCATCTCTGCCACCTACCAGTGATGGCCCCTTGGGCAGGTTACTGCTCCCTTCCTAAGCCTCCACATCTACAGCACAGAAAGATGTTACAATCCAGGGCCTCCCCGGTGGTGCAGCGGTTGAGCGCTGGGTTGCGAAGCTGCCCGCGGCCTCTGCGGCGCCGGTTCGATCCCCGGCTGCTCCCCGGCCACCGGAGGAGGGTCCCACATGGCGCCAGACCTCTCCTGCCACCCGCTGCTCCCCCCAGCAGTGTACTTCAGTCCTTTTGCCTGCTCTGCTCCCAGCTCTGACTCTGGTGAATTCTCTCACCCTCCCGCGCTTCTGACTGTACCCAGTACATGTATAAACAAAACAAACAAATATAATAAATAAATAAAAAAACATGCCTCTATAAAAAAAAAAAAAAAAGATGTTACAATCCAGCAACTGCTCAGGGACTCCTAGGAATCACTTAATACTACTGCCCTCATGCTGCTTCCTCTCAAAGTGTAAGGTCTCAATAATATATTCAATGTTATTGTACTGCTTGGAGGTTGGGATTCCCTGTAAGTACCAAATGAAGATTTGATATGGATTAGCCAGACCTCACTCAACATTTCCTGCAGGAGAAGCTCCAAGACGTTGTAACAAAGCTGAAGGAAACTCAAGACCACTGTACCAGTGCGAAGTTGTTCACGGCAGAGCAAATAACTGCATGGAAGGTAAGAATTGGAGTTTAGTGATCACAAACTATTTTTCATCCTGAATTCAAGTATAGGCTATGACTGGGCAAAGTACTCATTGATAGTTTATTCTCATTAAACCAGTACAAATTGCTGAGCCCCAAAGAATATGCCAGTTTTTTAAAAAAATAATTCCTTTAGTTGTCTAATCTAGGAGAATTTCCCTCTACTTTCTTCAGCCTTGCAGGAGTAAAGTGCTAGGCATCCCATCACCTCAGTCAGGAGAAACAAAGCTGTTGTGCCCCTGACCTTCAACGGGCTTCACATTTTCAATGACTGAAATTACCTCCTGTCTGAAGATCGTGAACTCACCTGCGCACATTTACCAGAGTACAGGGTCAGACCCTGTACCTTCCTGGTTGCAATACCACCCTAAGGGAATAACAGGACCAGTGCAGAAGACCTTCCCATAACTCAAGCTCGTGAGGTTGTGATGAGGATAGAGCTCTGCAAGACTTACACACACTTGCACTGTAGACGTGGGTCTCTAAGACAGTGTCCGTGGCTGACCAACCCCTGCAGGATCAGAGACACATTCTTTTATGGATATGGATGTAATCCATCATTTAGTAACCAAATTCCCCAGATGTGTGAGCCATTTTGCCTCTTCCAGTTTCTCTTCCCACCTTGACCCTGCTTCTGTGTGAGTGGATGTGAAATTGACTCGTCCATCCCTCATTTCGAGATCCTTGGAAGTTGGAGGACCTTACTTGGAAATAACAAGTGAAGATTCCTGACACTGTAGGTGCTACAACTGCCTCTGTCTCCTCATTCTGGAATATTAGGTCATAGGGAGAACTTCTATTGCTACAAACCATATAAGGAAACCATGTCAATGCCAGAGTCCAGCTGTCCCAGGTCTCCTACAAAAAGTTCCGCTTCAGGGCCTCCCTGCTGGCTCAAGGAGATAAGTCTCAGACAGTGAAACTATTGGTAGCCACTGCAGCATGAGTTCAATCGCTGGACAGGGAGATGCACAGCAGACCTCTTCTGCCTCACTGGCTGCTACCCTCAGCAGTGTATTTCAGTCAATCTGCCTGTTCTCCCCACTCTGTCTCTGATAAATTCTCTCACCTATGCACCTCTGGCCTACACCCAAGTTCTTGTATGCATAAATAAATAAAATCGTTGAAAAAAAATTCCACTTCATCCTAATCAATACTCCATCTACCATAATATCACAGTCACTAAAGCACTGTTGGAATTGAGAAAGCACAGATATAAATTGCAATTCCATATACCACAATAAAACCTGTGTTACACATAAAGATGAAATATGAATCCTGGTAGGTGCAATAATATATCTGGTAGCTCTTCAGGCTTCCCCTATTGAGTATTATAGACTCTCCTATGAGCCTGATGACTTAAATTCTGCATTGGTTATATTCACTATCAGCGTTTAGTTGAAGAAATTCTCTCAGAACATTTATATAGCATGTTACTTGCCCATAGTGCTTGGTTTTATCTTCATAAATGATAAGTTACTTGCTATTGGCCAAATTCCATTATTCTCCTGTTTAGCATTCCGGGAACATCTTCTTCTGCATCGTGGCTGGAGAAAAAGGAAATGTACCAGGTGGCTGCAGCTTATGATCACCTTCCACATCAGAGTGCAGCCTTTAGGTCATTTCTAGTGTACAGTCCAGTGGCATGAAATACATTTACTTGCTTTGCAGCCATCACCATCCTCCGTCTGCAGAACTATTTCAGCATTCCAAATTGGAGACTCTATGTCCATGAACAATAACTCCATTGCTCCCTCCTTCCGGCTTGAGGAACACCGAACTACTTGTTGTTTCTCAATTTGATGAGGGCCCACATATGAGAGGACTCATAGGGTCTTTCTCTTTTGTGCTTTGGCTCATGTCCCTCAGCATGAATCTTCAAGATACGTCCAGTTGGGCACATGTCACAGTTTGCTTTCCTCCTAGGGGTGAGCAGATTTGCACTGTGTCTCAGTCCTACCTGTGTTTACTGACTCACCAAAGAGGTATGTTTGGTTTGTTTCCCCCTTTTCTGCCTACTTTCTTGATTCTAGGAGAACATAGCGCTTCGGAGACAAGAAATCAAGTCTGAGTTTTGGAATCTCCACTGCTTCCTCCATGAGGAGGAGAGGGCTTATCTATGGAGATTGGAGAAAGAGGAAGAGAAGCTGCTGGGGAGACTGCAGGACAGTGAAGTCAGTCTGGACAATCAGAGCTATGAACTGGAGAAGCTCGTCCTGGAACTAGAGAAGAAATGTCAGGGCTCAGCCCAGAATTTATTGCAGGTGAGGGAGGCTGTGAAATTGGAGGAAAGAAAGAATGTCTGTTTCTGATCTATTGAGAGGAGAATGTCGAGGGAGCCTGGGAAGTTTGGCGAGTCCTCTCTGCCTCATTCAATATTTAAAGTAATAAATGTTGAAGGCTATAGCAGCAGCAGCTCTTTTGCCCATTTCTGTCTATGCAAGTGTCCTTTACTCTTCTCTCCCTTTTTATTATAAACCTCCCCTTTGGAAACCAAAGAAAAGATCCATATCAATGTCAGCTGGTGGCCTGTGCAGGTATCCACAGGGGCAGTATGTGATTCAGACACCAGCTTCTCTGGGTCGAATGTAGGTTTCTTGGCCATATGGAACCACAGAATAACCTTCATCCCATTTATTCACCCTTGTCAGTTGTTCATGGAACCTTCACCCCATCTCTTGAAAATGACTGGTGGTATAGAGTGGGGCATCCAAAATGAATGATAACCTTCTCCTGAACCACTTGTCTTGGGCCATGAGCTCTTAGGGAACCTCATTTCAGCTGCCTGGAGCTTCCAGGTGGTGAACATCAATGCCTGGACTCCAGTTGCTGTTGCAGGACTGGTGGTTGCACTGTGAGGGTGAGGATGTAGTGTGATAGTGCCCTCAGCAGGTGACATCTGCTGCCTTGGCCTCAGTGTCCCAGAGCCAGGGTCTGGGCATGGATTCCCCACTGAGGACCTTTGTCATAAGTAACAAAGGTAAAATGGGCTCCTCAGAAGGAAATTGTATTACTAATAGCAGAAGGAAATGCAACCTTGCTCCTGGCCTCTTCTCTAATGTCACGGGTTAATGTGAATGAAGACTCCATAACTCCCCCCAAGCCTGAGTAAATGTGATCACATACTTACACACACTGGCAGTGACTATCCTAGGAGACTAGGATGGGAATCTTTCAACCTGGGTATGTGTGGGTGTCTCAGGCTGGGTCACTCTACTTCCTGGGATGGAGTGTTCATAGCAAGTAGCCCCATGTTTCAAGTGACACAAAATACTGATTTCCCCACACTCACATTTGTCTTTGTTTTCACTGTAGGGTGTGAAAGACACATTAAACTGGTGAGTCTCTATGAATGTGGGAGTGTGAGGATGTGGGCAGTTGTGTGGCTACCCAGAGCTGAATGGAATGTCCCCTGTTCCTTATAGGTATTCAGATGTGAAGCTGAAATTGCCAGAGATCTTCTGTTTGGAGCCTCAAACTGTGTGCCATGTTTCTGAGCTTTACTTTGATGTGAAGAAAATGTTAAGGCACTTCCAAGGTGTGTGAAGTCAACAGTTCCCTTCATGCTTTACATAGAATGCCCTTTTGGTGGCAACTAACTGAGCAGCTGTCCCTGGGTAGACTCAGAGACAGAGAGGCTGTTTAGCTCTTCTCAGTGAAGTTGGAGCTCTCTACCTTGTGGATAAGCAGGGATGTAGCTTCCCTGTTAACTCTTCAGGCTCTTCAAATTCCTTCTCTCCCAGACTAATCACCTGCTCATTCTCCCCATCTAAACAACAATATAGAAGATTCACTTCCCTCACTTATCATGACATTTAACAGCATCAATGTATGCAGTGTTTAGAACATTTATTACAATTTCATTAAACTCTCAGCAATGCAAGAAAGATAGATCAGTATTTTAAACTGTGATGAAAATGGTTTTAAGGCCTTGACTCCTCTAAATGTTAGAATCCTAATGAAAGCCAGTATGACCAATTCCAATCCTGAGCTTCCAATCCCTTAGTTCTTACTTAGTATTTGTCATTTTCCATATGTCCACAATTAGATAATTAGATAGTAAGTTAAATATTATTGAAAAATTCTTTAGGCTGTAAAATCAGAATGAACCTGACAGAGGCCAAACCAGAATTGATTCCACTGGTGTGCTGCTATTTTAAGTATGTATTTTATCCCACCAGGTTATTTCTTTAAAGATTTATTTATTTACCCATACTAGAGCTGGCACACAGGCCAGAGGTGTTGGGGGGGGCGGTGGAAGGATTCACCTGAGACAGAGTGGGGAAAAGAACAGGCAGACTGACTGGAATACACTGCTAAGGGAACAGTGGGTGAAACGGGAGAGGTACTGTGCATGTAGGTTGGCTCCCTGGCCAGCCATGGATTCAACTCATGCTTCAGAGGCTGAGGATAGCTCACAGTGCTGTGCTTAACCCCTTGTGTCCCGAGGGAGGCCCAAGAGTCATCTATTTTCTATTTAGGTTGCTTCTGCAGGGATTTTCCCATATCTGCCCATTGTCATTTATAAGCATTTTGATTGTGTAATCTTACCATTTTTATTGGTGTTTTTATTACTGTATTACACTGAATTACATTCAAGTAACCGGTCTGTGTAACATAGATCTACAGATATATGTTCATTCTTTCAATCTGACTAGTCTTATTCATGGCTACATAGTCCATGTAGAAAATGTGATGTAAACTGCATTTTCTCTACTTATTAATCGCTGGTATTTTCATTTGTCTATTAAATTGGTCTGTTTGAGGGCCTCCCCAGTAGCTCAGCGGGTTGAGCGCAGTGCTGTGAAGGTGACCGCAGTCTCTGCAGCAACGATTCAATTCCCGCCAGCCAAGGAGAATCCCACATGGGGAGGCAGTCCTCCCCTGTCTCGCCCGCTAGTCTGCTCAGCAGTGTATTTCGTCAGTCTGCCTGTTCTGTTCCCCACTCTGTCTCTGATGATTCCTCTCACCATCCCGCAACTCTGACCTGTACCCCAACCTCTTGTATAAATAAAAAAATAAGAAATTAAAAAAATAAATTGGTCTGTTTAAACTGTCTTAGTCTTCCCCAGTTTAGTGATCTTTTTGGCCAGCCTCACACTTAAGAAATCACACTCCTGTTGCCTCCCTGAGACGCAAGGGGTTAAGAAGCAACCTATGAAGCTGTCTGCAGTGACTGCAGCATGAGTTCGATCCCCGGCCAGGGAGGTAACCACATGGTGCAGCAGACCTCTCCCGACTCACCCGCTGCTCCCCTCAGCAGTGTATTTCAGTCAGTCTGCCTGTTCTGTTCCCCACTCTGTCTCTGGTGAGTCCTCTCACCCATACTCCTCTGGCCTGTGCCCCAGTTCTTGTATGCATAAATAAATAAACCTTTAAAAACAAACAAATTATACTCCTGGCCAGCATCACGCTTAAAAGATCATTATTTTTTTTTTATTTTACTTATACTAGTCAGATCCTTTTGATGATGTGCGTTATTCCAGCATAAATTGTATCACTTTTTACTCATCCCTGGGACAATATGGACTATCATCTGTAGCAACATAAAAGACTTCACACCTAAATTCATGGGTCTGAGAGGTGCTCTGAGGGCTGAATAGAATACTGGGATCTGAGGTAACTGTTTCAATAACAAAATATGGCAGGACCTATGTTATTTTGCTTTCTGATAATCAGTGTGAAAGGTTATCACTAAAAATGGGGATAAGCTTCTTTTTTGCGTCAATATTCCATGATTCTTGGTGGCCCTACACAGGGGATAAGGGATGTGGAGAGGACAGCAACCACTCTGGTTAGTCAGTCCCTTGCCTTCTCTGAGAGGGACTGAGTTGGTGTTGATGACGTAATGGAGTGGATATTACTTCCACTTACTGCTTACTTACCAAATGCGAGGAATTTCTCCAAGTAGTAGGGTGCATCAGCTCCTTCAATCCTCCCCACCATTACTGTGGCAGGTGTGATGATTTCCTACTATATGCAGAGTCTCAGAAAGTGACTCACAGAGCTAGAAGCAGGCAGCACCTGAAGCCAGAAGGTTGTACTTGAAGTGTACTGTCTTCTCAGCAAATAAAATGTGTCTTTCTCTCTTATCAGTCAGTGTGACTCTGGACCCAGACACAGCTCATCATGAACTAATTCTGTCTAAGGATCGGAGACATGTGACCCGTGGAGGCAGACGGAAGAAGTATTTCAGTTCTAAAAGATTCTGTTCCTTACCCTGTGTCCTGGGCTGTGAGGGCTTCACCTCAGGAAGACATTACTTTGAAGTGGACGTGGGAGAAGGATCTGGGTGGGACTTAGGAGTTTGTCTGGAAAATGTGCACAGGTACAGGGACATGACCCCAGAGCCTCAGTCTGGCTTCTGGGCCATCAGACTCTGCCAGGAGAATGGCTACATGGCCCTTATCTCTCCCCCAACTCCCCTTCCATTGATGGAGCGGCCCCTGCTAGTGGGAGTTTTTCTGGACTGTGAGGTTGGACTTGTGTCCTTTTACAACATGAACACTGGCTCCCACATCTTCACCTTCCCAAGGGCCTCCTTCTCTGGTACTCTTCGGCCTTATTTCCAGGTTAATCATTCTTCTCCTTTGTTCCTCCCTCCACCCCTGGAGTCAATTTAAAAGAGTCTCTTTGTTTCCCGATGTAGAAATATAACGTCAGTCCTATTAGGTCAGGACTTGTTCTGTTTTGTCATTTGCTCTTTCCTTTTACCTGAACCAGCGCTGAGTTCTCAGTGGACACTCAGTGAGTGTGCCATGACTGCTGGACACAGCCATTGTGCAGACAGCGCAGAAGATCAGCCTGACCAGCGGGGAATCGAGAGAACAGCAGGGTCATCCCTCGTGCTCTCCCCCGTCACTGGGTCAGATCTCTGACCTGCCAGGGTCCTGATCTCTCGCTGGGTGTCTGGCCTCTTCAATTTCATGTCAAGTTTTCACGCTCCATCAATGTTGTAGTTTGGGTTAGTAGTTGCTTTTGTTTCTGGACAAACCATCCCACTGTATGGATATCACGCATCGTGTGTGCCCGTTCATCAAAGGATGGACATTGGTTGTTTCCACTTTGGGGCGAGTTCAAATGATGCCATTGAGAACAGTGCTGTACAAGTTTTTGTGTGATTATGGTGCAATTTGGAGGTTTATACCTAGGAGTAGAATTGCTACTTCCTATGATAATTGGTTCAACTTTTTTTTGTGAGATTTATTTATAGAAGAACTGAGGTACAGGCCAGATGTGATGGAGGGTGAGCAGATTCACCAGAGAGAGAGCGGGGAACAGAACAGGCAGGCTGACTAAATACACTGCTGAGGGGAGCAGCGGGTGTGACAGGTGAGGTCTCCCGAGCCATGTGGGACTTCGCCGGCCTGCCAGGATCCAACCGGTGCTGCAGAGGCTGGGAGAGCTTCACAGTGTGGCGCTCAACTGCCTGCTCCACCAAGGGAGGCCCAAGTTGTTCATCTTTTATGGAACTGTTTTCCAAGTGATGCCCGAATTGTCAGGCCTAGTCTCCTAGCCAGGATGGGATTTCAGGCTGCAGGGCAGCAGGGCAGCTTTGAGCACCAGCCACTAGACCCCCCACGGGGTCTAGGAACTTCAAAGATGCCCAGGCAAGCAAGCGAGAAGAGGCAGGTTTGTTTAGAGAAAGAAAAAGTTTATTGAGGAGAAAAAGAACAGAAATAAAGTGGGACTCCCAGGCCAGGGAACCAGGCCTGGGAGGGGCAAGGAAGCCAAAGTGAAGTCCTGTCTCAGGGAATATATACTTTCTTTCCCTGATTATTCTAAAGCTCCACCAGTCTCTTTGTAATTGGTTAGTTCTCGGCTGTCTCACTTAATTTGCTACTGAGTAGGGGATCTTCACATTCCTTATCTAATAGGTTTGTCTTTCCCCATTTGTTACATCTTTATCTTTATGGCCTAGTCTTCCGGGAGAGCATCTCCACACCTTATTTTTATCACCTGAAGAAAACCAGGACCATCCTTAACAAGATTGTCTGTGGTGCTAGGATGTTTGTTTTCCCCCTATTGTTAACAATGGTCCTAGGATGTTTGTTTTTCCCAGTGGAATTGGTTACATTTCCTTGGTTGTCCTTATCTCTGAAGCCTCCCTAAATTCTTCAGAGGTCCCCTCCTGCACTGTCCCTGAAACTGCCTAATTTCTAGCTTACCCTGTGTCTCACGACAACATAGTATATCCTCACATGCCATGTATGACATTCCAATTTCTCTACATTTTATTGTGGGTATTTTTAAATGTAACTATGCTAATGGATAGTAAGTGCTGTCTCCTTGAGATTTTGTTTTTTTCTGGCTTTTGCATTTTCCTAATGAGTGGTGATGGTGACAGCTTCATGGCTAATTGTGTGTCTTTTTGGAATTATCTCTATTCACATACATTGCCCATTTTAGTTGGGTAATTTGTATTTTGGTTTGTAATAACTTCTGTATGCTAATTACAGTTCTAGGTATGTCCCTTATCAGCCTAATAATTTTAGAAACTTTCTATCATTCTCTGAGTTCTCTTTTACATTCTTGATGGAGTCCTAAGAAGCTCATCTCAGTATCCTTGTTATATTGAACTTTTATTACTTGTGCTTTGGTGTCATCCAGATAACCATTGGGAACCCAAGGGAACAAGAGTTTTTCTCTCTTTTCTTCCAAAAGGTTTTAACCATTTCAGTTCTTACACTTAGATCTTTGGTTCATTTTGGGGACTCCAGTGATCTGTCCACTCTGTTCTTTGAAATTCTCCATCCTACACTCCTCATACACAGGAAGGGATGCACTGAGGGAGGGGCTCTTTCTGGCCTCCCCTGAGCTGTCTCAGTACATCACACACATCTCATGAAGCACTGGGTTCTCCCCACTTAGGGAACATGTCTCTAAAATCTCTTCTACCTCCTCTCCCCTCTCAACCCTGAGCTCTGCATGATCCCTTCCCTCACACAGCAGGTGCCAGTGGGGGCAGTGGTCATAAGACAGACCCTGACATGAGCTTGTCTTTGTCTGGCTGCTGCTGTGTGGGGGTGGTTGATCACCTGTGGGGTCCCTCAGCTCCTTTCCTGGTCCTTTGACTATGGGGAGCCACGCTACTCATGTTGTCTGACAAAAGTCCAGGCATGGGGCAGATTTCTGGAAAATCAGGAATCTTGTTAGCTGACTCCAAGATTCTCCTCATTTGTTTATGGCTAGTTTCTACCATTGCTAAAATACGCATTTAAAAGTAAAACTGCAAATACTGATCAATCACTGAATAACCAGTTTGATGACAAATGGCACTGCATGATACAAATATCACATTTTTTATAAAATTAGTAGTTATCTGCCAAAAGGCAGCAATTCAACATTTGGCCTTACATTAACAAATTAAAAAGAAAACTTCTGGGAACAAAAGGCTGTAAACATCCCTAGGCCAAGTCTTTGATATGGAGATGTGGTCTTTTGAGGCAAGGGCTAATTGGAGAAGGAAATTTATTTACTTTAAAGTAAAAGATAGCAGTTGGGTGGCAGAGGAGAGCCATGCTCCAAGTGTAAGAAAATTCCTAATAAACCAGGAGGCGCCATAGCTGACTCCTGCTAAATTCTTCCTGTTTGTTTAGGGCTAATTTCCCTGGAGGTGACAATTGGTATGGTAGCTGTTAGAGTGTGCATTCAAGAATAAGTCAACAGCAATTTTGTGACTGGTTGAGCTAGTAACCACGGCAGCACAAATAATCCACTCGGAAATGGTTAATGTTACAACTACTGATATGTCACCTATCGACCATTTTTGAGAATCAAAGGCTATAACCATCTCTGCTCCTGCCCCTGATGAAATATTTGTAGTTCCTTAAAACAACAACCAGCAATCTTATAGATAAGGAAATTGTCCCTTGATCTTAAAGTTAAATACGGAATCTAGGCTGACTAAATAAAGTAGAGGAGTAATAGGTAGAAAACTCTTTGTTTAGATTAGGAGAATTCCTCCCTCAATTTGTTAGGGGGAAAGGATGTCCTGAAGCTAATTCCATACAGGCTTTGTGGACTCCACCTCCACCCCAGGTCAAAAACTGGGAACTCCAAATCCTATCACCACCAAAGGGAAGGCAGCCAGGTTGATATAAAGCCAGACACGTGGGCTTTAGAGGGGATTCCCCCATTTTGGCTCTCCACCAGCTCGCAGCGTCCGGCCAGCTCTGAGAGTGACTTTGGGTTTCCAGGTCAGCGGATCGGGTAGGACGCATTAAAGACTTTATTTCCCTATTTTCTCCCTGAGTTGTACATTTTCCTTATTTCCTTTTCCTTTGTAAATAAACCTTTTATTAACCTTGTGTGTGTGCCTGTAGTGGAGTATTCATAAGTCCCTTTTAAGCGCCCTGGTGAGGACTCACAGCCAGGCAACCCATTCATTTATCGGGGCTGCTCTATAACAAATTGAGAGCTGGGGGCTAGGGAAGAGTCAGTGCGGCTTGCCTGGCATTTGCGCCCTCCAGGCACTTGGTTCCTTAATATCAAATCAATATAAAAGCAATATACTATAGATGATGATTTCTATATAAAAGCCTTCTGTTTTTTACTTTAATCAATTAGTTATACATTAGTCTAAACTTTATAGGTTAGTTAGAAAAAATCCCTTTGTTTCCCCTCCCCCAGGTAACTTCCTGCCCTTTGTCTCCCCAGCCCATAGTTAATCCTTCACCATGGCAAACATAGAAATGTTAGTTACAGTCACTTAAGCCTTTTGCTAGTAATAAAATGACTGATTGTTTAAGGTAAATGACTATTCTAAGAACACTTTTGTTTAGCAACTGTGTCTTCTTTAAAACAAAGAATAATAAACATGACCACCTCTGCAGCAGGGCAAATAGCCCCTTGGCTGTTCTTGAGAAAGATGTGATGATTGTTATCTTCCTGCCTTAATGCATATGCTTATGCACTCTCCAGGTTTGCTTGAAATATATAAGTAAAGGCTGCTGAGACCCTCAGCAGGATACCTGCACCCTGACCAAGTGTCCAAATCTCCTCATTATCCTTCCCCATCCCTCACGATTTCGCCAACGCCATCCCATCCTTCAGGAACACCTGACACCCAGACTGCTACAGCTGGCTCGCAACATTTGACAAGACAGCTTGTAACAGGGTGGTCCCCAGGAAAGGGGGAGGTTCCCTGCCCCACCCAAGGGAGGGTGGAGCTGAGCAGGAAGAGGAGAAGCTGCAGAAGAGACTGAGGAAGGAAGCAGGATGGAGCCAGGAGACCTGGAAGAGGAGCATGGAGCCTAGAGACAAGTAAAGAAACTGCGCTTGTCTTTTGGTCGTAGACTGGGTGACACAGATGTGGGTGAGACCTGTGGGGAGGTGACGATGGCAGCTTTTATCTGGATGTTGATTTTGCTCTTTTCCTTCCGGGCTTGTCCGGTTGTTTGTGACCCTTTTCTGTGGGTCCCCACTGGAAGATGTTTTAGACTTGTGGCAGGCTTTGGGGCCTTGCTCTGGGCCGATCCCATATGGATGGAGTTTTACCCACGAGGGGATGGGTAACTTTGGGTGCTTCATTTAGAAACTAGACTCTTTGCCTTACCTGTATTGTTTCCTAGTTTTTATTAAAGTTCCTTCCCATTAAAGTGTCATATGTTTTGTGTTGATGCGGTGGATGGCAGAACCCATTTAGAATAGGCAGGTTTGCAGGGTTTGGGCTGCCCCTCTCCCTGTCCTATAACCGATTTGGCGTCCAACGTGATTTAGGACAGGATGATCTGTGCCCAGTGCAGTCTCATCTATGACAGTGAGGGTGGAGGGAGATGCAGGGAGTTATTATGGGATCAGGAACCCAGGGGTCATTCTCATCTCTCTTGAGCGGATGCCTCAGGAGCTGGTGTGTCTAGTTCCTTTTGTTATAGGACAGGGAGAGGGGAAATGAAACCAATTCCACTGGGAAAAACAAACATCCCAGCACCACAGATAATCTTGTTAAGGATGGTCCTGGTTTTCTTCAGATGATAAGATAAAGTGTAAAGATGCTCACCAGGAGGGCTAGACCATAAAGATAAAGATATAAGAAATGGGGAAAGACAGACCTGTTAGATAAGGAATGTGAAGATCCCCACTCAGTAGCAAATTAAGTGAGACAGCCGAGAACTAACCAATCACAAAGAGACTGGTAGAGCTTTAGAACATTCAGGGAAAGAAAGTATATATTCCCTGAGACAGGACTTCACTTTGGCTTCCTTGCCCCTCCCAGGCCTGGTTCCCTGGCCTGGGAGTCCCACTTTATTTCTGTTCTTTTTCTCCTCAATAAACTTTTTCTTTCTCTAAACAAACCTGCCTCTTCTCGCTTGCTTGCCTGGGCATCTTTGAAGTTCCTGCTGCTGCTTCACTAGACACCAACCCGTGGGGGGTCTAGTGGCTGGGGCTCAAAGCTGCCCTGCTGCCCTGCAGCCTGAAATCCCATCCTGGCTGGGAGACTAGGCCTGACAATTCCGGCATCAGGACCAGCAGCTTATGAGCCTGAGCAGCTGGACACCCTTGGCTAGGTTGTTCCTCACCTCCTTTGCAGGTCAGCTGCCCTGACAGACACCCTAGGGCATTCAGATCAGCACCAAGCAAAGCACCTGTCCCAGGATCTAGCCAGGGACTCTAGAATCCCAGTCACTGCCTGGCTCCTCACTTACCTTACCAACCCCTCACACTGCAGAAGTGATTTCTTTCACAAATGTATATTGTGCGATTATCAGAAATGCCTCTTCCATCCTAGGCTATCAGTATGGCAAGGGACTATGCTGCCTGCCTCCCAGCACCCAGGCTTGCCGCCTCCCTGGCTGCTCATCTGCTCCCCTGCTTAAGCATTAAAGGCCTGTCAGATCTACCTAGGGCTCCAAATTTCTTTCCCCTCCTGAATAACAATGAAACTGGCTCCCTGCTGCCAGTTTCAGGACTTCTCCCAAATCAATCTGGCCCGGCCCCCAGGCAATTACTTTCTGAGTTGACTCCAGGGAAAGGAAACCACAGGCAGGAACCCGGAAGTGGAGCTGCAGGGGGACTAGTAGCGATTTTATTGCTGACTGCTCCATGAGGAAGGGAGGATTGAAGAAGTCCAGGTCAAGGTTTGCTCTGGGGTGAACTGTGAGTTCCTTGTCTGCGTGTCTGCAGGTGTGTGTGCACGCACAGGGGTGTGTGTTCCTGTGTGGGTGTGTGGGTGTGGTCCCTGGCAATAAGGAGCTCACTGGAACCTGGTCATTGGAAAATGGTCAGGACATTGCTTTCCAGCTCTCTCTCCCTCTGCTTTCTCTTTCCCAGGCACAGTGCCATATCTTAGATCAGGGTGTGAGGTGACGAAGGTCAGGCACTTGGGGTTCAGAGGAAGGGCATCCCCATGAACACAACCCCAGGCATAAGGAAGGCTGGTGCAGCCCCTGGGAGAAATCCCCTCCGTGGGAGAGCAGTCTGCAGAGATGTGCTCCTGCTCCAAGGGCTAGTCCGGAAAATAGGGGGAAATAATCCATCCAGTTCCTTGTGTTGGATCTGCTTTTAGTCCAGGCCCTGTGAGTGCAAAGGAAAGGTCTCTACTTCCTCCCTCAGCACCTCCCCACACATGGCAGCAAGGGGAGGGCAGCAGGGCTGGGAGCCTGAGCAGCTGCCACTGTGGGGAAGGGCAGACCCTCTGCTCTGTTCCCTGCTCCTCTGTCTCCAGCTCTCAGTCCTCACTGGTGGACACTAGGGCGTCCAGGACAAGGAGCCCACAATGGACAGGCTTTTCTCTCTGCCTCCTGCCTCCCCACATCCTGGTTCTGCAAATTCCCTCTGCCTCAGGCACCCTGAACTTGTCTGGGAGACCTGTCCTCCCCTGGAGGGAGACAGTCACCTCCCTTGTGCCCAGGGCCTCTGCTCCCAGCACCAACTCCTTCTCTACCACTCTCTCCAGCTCTCCGCCCTTCAGTATAGTCTCCATGGAAAATGGACTAACCTTTTTCTTTGAGGTTTTTAATGGGGTCCAGAGAACAAGACATGGGTGTGTGAGGACAGTCAAGTGGGATTGACCCCATGGACTGTGTTTGCTAACCATTCGCCTCAGTGGTGCTACCAGGACAAAGAAGGAACTTGGTCTGACTCCTGTTGAAGCTCACCATACATCAAGAGAGTTTCACTTTCCTCAATGAGTTTTTTTTTTTTTTTTTAAGATTTATTTATTTATGTATACAAAAACGGCAGTACAGGCCAGAGGTCCCTGGGTCAGGGATGGAGGGGATGCGGTATAAGAGGATTCACCAGAGACAAAGTGGGGAGCAGAACAGGCACTGAATGAAATACACTGCTGAGTGCAGCGGGCAAGCAGGAGAGTTCTGCTGCACCATGTGGGTAGCTCCCTGGCTGGCCTGGGATTGAATTCATGTTGCAGAAGCTGCAGATAGCTTCACAGTGCTGTGCTTAACCCCTTGCACCACCACTGTCCCTCCATGAGTTCTCTTCTCTCATGCAACTCTTGTGAGCAAAACTTTCTGCTTCTCTATCTCTACTAGCACCTGATCCAAGAACATCTCCTGCCATGATGGAATGTTCTGTGCCTGGCTATGGGGAGCCATTGGCAGATATTAAGCATTGAATTATGACTGGTGGTGTCCCCTCTCCCTGTCCTATAACAGTGGGACTGAAACACTGAGCTTAAGGTTTATTGAATTTTAATCAAGGTCAATTGAATGGGGCAAACATGGCAGGGATTACCCTATTCTACCACACAGGGACAAGTGAGTTATCTTTCAAATTACAATCCATTATATCTCCAAGGAGAAGACTTCAAGACCTGTGCGGGCTCAGAGGTTCAGGTGAGACTTCTGGAAAATCGTGGCTGATTCATCTCTGCCTATACATACTTAGTAGAACTTTGAGGAAGAGCCATGGCCTTATCACCAGCCATCAGGAAGATGAAGGAGGAAGCCATGTGCTCCATCTGCCAGCAGCTGCCGTGAGCATCAACTGTGGGACAGCTTCTGCCGCCAGTGCATACACGATATCACTGGACAGCAAAATCTTGTGACATCTTTTATTTGGAGGGCTCGCTGTCCCCTGTGCCAAACATCACTTCAAAGGGAGAGTGTCCGATCCAACAAGCACCTTGAAAACCTCATTGAGAGCATCCAGGAGCTGGAGCGTGAGAGGCTGTGTGAGGAACACGGGGAGCGGCTCCACCTTTTCTGTGAGGACGACGGGCAGCTCATCTGCTGGCGCTGTGAGTGCTCCCCCCAGCACAGAGGACACCGCACGGCTTTAGCAGAGGACGTGTATCCAGGCTACAAGGTGAGTGAGTGGCCATACCTTTCAGCAAGTACTTCCTCTTATGTTGCACTTTTTTTTTTTTAATTTATTTTTTTGTGGGACCCTCGCCGGCAGCCGGGGAATGAAATGGCACTGCAGAGGCTGTGAGCAGCCTCACAGCCCAGTGCTCAAACACTGTACCACCAGGGGAGGCCTATGTTACACATTTTTATTGAAATTAGTCTGAACACCAAGATCGTGACACTAAAATGTTGTTTCTATCATGTTATTTTCTGAATAATAGTTTATTATGATCCCAGTGAGTCAGGTCCTCATTTTCAATGCCAAACTTTAAGGTTGGGTGGAACTTTTCCATTAAGAACTTCCTATAATGAACTTAATTGATTGTGCTCTTTGTCACACCTGCCTCGTTCATGGCCTCACCTCAAATACATAAGTGGAGACACCACAGCGTGCAAGAGCACAGGACAGCATCTGAAATCCCAGAGGTCAGAACCAACACCTTCTTGATATCCCAGAGTCCACAAGGAGTAGGAAAACGAACTCAGGACGCCTGACGTGCCTCGGTGTGGGTGGTGAGGGGGGCACTAGGGGCAGGAATGAATGTGTGAGGGGGAGACTGCCCAGAAGTGAGTCCTGAAGGACACACACAATATCACCATGGGCAGAGTGTGGGTAAGAGACAGGAAGCCAGATCAGGTGGTTCACTTCTCACGAGAGCTTGCCTGACTCTTCGATGAGGCAGGCAGGAGGTGCGTGAGGGAAAGGCCATTGCAGGCATGGGAAAGGATGTCAGGAAGGAAATTTGGTATCACTTGGAATCCATACCCTTGCCTAGAGTGGCCTGGACACTAGGACTTTATTTGTGGAGGGAAAGATCAGGTTGACATGTAAAAGCACATTCTGCGTGGACAAAATAAACAACAAGGACAAAATCTAAGAATTGGAAATGGCAACAGGTATGAGCATACACTGGGAAGGGGAGTTAGGGTTTAAAAATACTTGGTGCGAGGGATGAAGCCTTGAGAGACGTTTCAATCATTTCTTATGTTTTTGACACAATAGCTTTTAGCATAAGGGTCCCTTTGCTGAGGAGGAATGAAGAAGTGGGATTCCTTCCTCTCAGCCCCTTTGGCATTTGAAGTAACATCCCCAGTATGGGGCTCTGAGTACCCTCATCACTGAGGTGCCTGTGTCTTGTGTGAAGGTTCTGGATCCTGTGTCAGGGCGTGTCAGCCCTGACCACCACTCAGTGCACTCACCTCCTCCTATTACCCCATGAGCAGTCAGGGCTGTAATGGGGCAGGTCTCATTGCTTCACACCATGTCATCAAATAGGAAAAACACAAGGTTCTGGGCGTAGCCTCAAGAGTCAGACTGCTGAGGTGAAATACTAGGTCAGCCTCTTCCTAGATGGGCAACTGTGAGCAACTCAGTTCTTGATCATGACTTGGTTTCTACATCTGTAAATGGAGAAAAATTTACCCCAGCCCACCCGACACACGCACCAGGAGGTTGTCATAAGCTGTAAGGACATTCTCTAGGTAGAGTTGAGAATTGCACTGTGCTCATAGCAAAAGCAAACAAGGAGCTCCCCTGGTGGCGCAGCGGTTGAACGCTGGGCTATTAAGCTGCCCACAGCCTCTGCAGCGCAGGTTCGATCACTGGCCACTGGGCAGACCTCTCCTGCCACTCCCACTGCTCCCCTCAGCACTGCACTCCATCAGTCAGCTTGTTCTGTTCCCTGCTCTGGCTCTGGTGAATTCTCTCACCCCCCACACTTCTGACTTACACTCCAGTTCTTGTATGCATGAATAAATAAAAAATAAATCTTTAGTAAAAGAAAAAAGAAAGTGAGAGAAATTTTTCAATAAACCCTACAGCTCGATGTGGACAGGAATCTCTATGAATTGATGTCATGACACTGTTCTTCAGGTGATAGCGGGGCTCCCCCTCATGACCTGGTTCTGTAACTTCAGCTGCCTTCCTGGGCTCTCTCCTGACTCTGTGTAACATGTGAAAAGTTCCCAGTGTATCAAATATTGTGTATTATCTATGACTAGTCCAGCACATTATTTTATAAAATTTGCTTTTAGATGATTTTAACCTTATATGATGTGCAGCAATTTCCTGGCTCACTGTAGTGGTAGATGTAGTCCAATCCTTAGATCCTCAATGAGCTGGGAATTGCATCTCTGCCACCTTCCAGTGATGGCCCCTTGGGCAGATTACTGTTCCCTTCCTAAGCCTCCACTTCTACAGCATAAAAAGATGTTACAATCTTAGCAACTGCTATGGGACGCCTAGGAATGATTTATGCTACTTCCCTCTTCTTGCGTCCTGTCACAGTGTAAGTATCAAAAATATAATCAATGTCATTGTATGGCCTGGAGGCTGCGATTTCCTATAAGTACCAAATGAAGATTTTGAAATGGATTAGCCAGATCTCACCCAATTTTTCCTGCAGGAAAAGCTCCAAGACATTGTAACAAAATTGAAGGGAATGCAAAAACTCTGTAAGAGTGCGAAGTTGTTCACGACAGAGCAAATAACTGAATGGGAGGTAAGAATTTGAGTTTAATGATCACAAACTATTTTTCATCCTGAATTCAAGTATAGACTATGACTGGACAAAATTCTCATTGATAGTTTATTCTCATTAAACCAGTACAAACTGCTGAACCCAAAGAATATGCCAGTTTTTTAAAAATTACTCCATTGTCTAATCTAGGCGATTTTTCCTCTACTTTTTTCAGCCTTGCAGGAGCAAAGTGCTAGGCATCCCATCATCTCAGTTGGGAGAAACAAACCTGTTGTGCCCCTTATCTTCAATGGGCTTCACATTTTCAATAACTGAAATTACCTCCTGTCTGAAGATCGTGAACTCACCTGCGCACATTTACCAGAGTTCAGGGTCAGATCCTGTACCTTCCTGGTTGCAATACCACCCTAAGGGAATACAAATAACAGGACCAGTGCAGAAGACCTTCCCATAACTCAAGCTTGTGAGGTTGTGATGAGGATAGAGCTCTCCAAGAACTTACACACACGTGCACTGCAGACTGTGGGTCTCTAAGACAGTGTCCGTGGCTGACCAGCCCCTGCAGGATCAGAGACACATTCTTTTATGGATATGGATGTAATCCATCATTTAGTAACCAAATTCCCCAGATGTGTGAGCCATTTTGCCTCTTTTAGTCTCTTACCACCTTGACCCTGCTTCTTTGTGAGTGGATGTGAAACTTGACTCGTCCATCCCTATTTTGAGATCCTTGGAAGTTGGAGGACCTTATTTGAAAATGACAGTGTAGGTGTTACAACTGCCTGTCTCCTCATTTCTGGAAAATAGGTCATAGGGAGAACTTCTATTGCTACAAACCATGTCAATGCCAGAGTCCAGCTGTCCCATGTCTCCTACAAAAAGATCTACTTCAGGGCCTCCCTGCTGGCTCAGGGGATTAAGTCTGAGACAATGAAGCTATTGGTAGCCACTGCAGCATGAGTCGAATACTGGCCAGGGAGATGACCCACAGGGCCCAGCAGACCTCTCTCGCCTCGCCGGCTGCTCCCCTCAGCACTGTATTTCAATCTGCCTGTTCTGCTCCCCACTCTGTCTCTGATGAATCCTCTCACCTCTGCACCTCTGGCCTACACCCCAGTTCTTGTATGCATAAATAAATAAAATCTTAAAAAAAAAGTTCCACTTCATCCTACTCAATACTCCACCTACCACAATACCACAGTCACTAAAGCACTGTTGGAATTGAGAAAGCACCAACGCAAATTGCAATTCCGTATATCACAAATGAAAACTGTTAAGTGTTACACATAAAGATGAAATATGAATCCTGGTAAGTGCAATAATACGTCTGGTAGCTCTTCAGGCCTCCCCTATTGAGTATTATAGACTCTCCTATGAGCCTGATGACTTAAATTCAGTATTGGTTATATTCACTATCAGCATTTAGTTCAAGAAATTCCCAGAACATATAGATAGGGTGGTGCTTTCCCTCAGTGCTTGGTTTTATCTTCCTAAATGATAAGTTACTTGCTGTTGGCCAAATTCCATTATTCTCCTATTTAGCATTCTGAGACCTTCTTCTTCCGCATCGTGGCTGGCGAAGAAGGAAATGGACCAGGTGGCTGCAGCTTGTGATCACCTTCCATATGAGAGTGCCAGCCTTTAGGTCATTTCTAAGTGTACAGTCCAGTGGCATGAAATGCATTTAATACAGTCCAGTGGCATGACATGCATCTCCGTCTTCAGAACTATTTCAGCATTAGAAATGGAAACTCTATGTCCATGAACAATAACTCCATTGCTTCCTCCTTCCAGCTTGGGGGCCGCCATTCTACTTCTTGTTTCTCAATTTGACGAGGGCCCACGTATGAGAAGACTCATGGGTCTTTCTCTTTTGCTCTTTGGCACATGTCCCTCAGCATGAATCTTCAAGATAGTCCAGTTGGGCACGTGTCACAGTTTGCTTTCCTCCTAGGGGTGAGCAGATTTACACTGTGTCTCAGGCCCACCTGTGTTTACCGACTCACCATAGAGGTATGTTTGGTTTGTTTCCCCCTTTTCTGCCTACTTTCTTGATTCTAGGAAAATATAGCGCTTCGGAGACAAGAAATCCAGTCTGAGTTTAGGAATGTCCATAACTTCCTCGATGAGGAGGAGAGGGCTTATCTATGGAGAATGAAGAAAGAGGAAGAGAAGCTGCTGGGGAGATGGCACTACAGAAAAGCCAGTCTGGACTATCAGAGCCGTGAACTGGAGCGCCTCCTCCTGGAACTAGCCCAGAATTTATTGCAGGTGAGGGAGACTGTGAACTTGGAGGAAAGAAAGAATGTGCTTGTTTCTAATCTATTCAGAGGAGAGTGTGGAGGAAGACTGTGAAGTTTGTCGAGTCCTCGCTGCCTCATTCAATATTTAAAGTAATAAATGTTTAAGACTATAACAGCAGCAGCTCTTTTGCCCATTTCTGTCTATGCAAGTGTCCTTTAATCTTCTCTCCCTTTTTATTATAAACCTCCCCTTTGGGAACCAAAGAGAAGATCCATATCAATGTCAGCTGGTGGACTGTGCAGTGGCAGTATGTGAATCAGAAACCTGCTTCTCTGGGTCGAATGTAGGTTTTTTGGCCATAGGAACCACAAAATAACCTTCATCCCATTTATTCACACTTGTCAGTTGTTCATGGAACCTTCTCACCATCTCTTGAAAATGACTGGTGGTATAGAGTGGGGAAGCCTAAATGAATGATAACCTTCTCCTGAATCACTTATCTTGGGCCATGAGCTCTTAGGGAACCTCATTTCAGCTTCCTGAAGCTTCCAGCCGGTGAACATAAATGCCTGGACTCCAGTTGCTATTGCAAGACTGGTGGTTGCACTGTGAGGGTGAGGATGTAGCATGACAGCGCTCTCAGCAGGTGACGCCTGCTGCCTCTGCCTCAATGTCCCGAGTCAGGGTCTGGGCATGGATTCCCACTGAGGACCTTTGTCATAAGTGACAAAGGTAATATGGGTTTCTTAGAAGGAAACTGGATCACTAATAGAAGAAGGTAATACAATCTTGCATCTGGCCACTTCCCTAAGGTCACAGGCTAATGTCAATGCAGACTGCATGACTCCCCACAACCCTGAGCAAGTGTGATCACACATTCACACACACTGGAAGTGACTATCCTAGGGGACTGGGATGGGTGTCTTTCTACCTGGGTATGTGTGGATGTGTCAGGCTTTGTCACTCTACTTCCTGGGGTGGAGAGTTCATAGCAAGTAGCCCTATGTTTCCAGTGACAAGAAATTCTGATTTCCCCACACTCACATTTGTCTTTGTTTTTACTGTAGGATGTGAAAGACACATTAAACAGGTGAGTCTGTATGAATGTGGGAGTGTGAGGATGTGGGCAGTTGTGTGACTACCCAGAGCTGAATGGAATGTCCCCTGTTTCTTATAGGTATTCAGATGTGAAGCTGAAATTGCCAGAGACCTTCTGTTTGGATCCTCAAACTGTGTGCCATGTTCCTGAGCTTTGCTTTGATGTGAAGAAAATGTTAAGGTGCTTCCAAGGTGTGTGAAGTCAACAGTTCCCTTCATGCTTTACATAGAATGTCCCTTTGGTGGCAACTAACTCAGCAGCTGTCCCTGGATAGACTCAGAAACAGAGAGGCTGTTTAGCTGTTCTCAGTGGAGCTGGAACTCTCTACCTTGTGGGTAGGCAGAGATGTAGCTTCCCTGTTAACTCTTCAGGCTCTTCCAATTCCTTTTCTCCCAGACTAATCACCTGCTCATTCTCCCCATCGAAACAACAATATAGAAGATTTCACTTCCCTCACTTATCATGACATTTAACAGCATCAATGTGTGCAGTGTTTAGAATATGTCTACAACTGAACATTTATTAACATTTCATTAAACTCTCAGCAATGCAAGAAAGATAGATCACTATTCTAAATTGTGATGGAAATGGTTTTAAGGCCTTGACTCCTCTAAATATTAGAATCCTAATGAAAGCCAGTATGATCAATTCCAATCCTGAGCATTGCAATCCCTTAGTTCTTTCTTAGTATTTGTCATTTTCCATATGTCCACAGTTAGATAATTTAAGCTAAATACTATTAAAAAATTCTTTTGGCTATAAAATGACAACGAACCTGACAGAGGTCAAACCTGAATTGATTGCACTGGTGTGCTGCTATTTTAAATATGTATTTTATCCCACCATTTTATTTCTTTAAAGATTTATTTATTTACGCATACTAGGGCTGGGGCACAGGACCCCCAGGTGTTTGGGGGGGTGGTGAAAGGATTCACCTGAGACAAAGTGGGGAACAGAACAGGCAGACTGACTGGAATACACTGCTAAGGGAACAGTGGACGAGACAGGAGAGGTGCTGTGCCATGTAGGTTGGCTCCATGGACAGCCAGGGATTGAACTCATGCTGCAGAGGCTGAGGATTAGCTTCACAGTGCTTTGCTTAACCCCTTGTGCCCCGAGGGAGGCCCAGGAGTCATCTATTTTCTATTTAGGTTGCTTCTGCAGGGACTTTCCCATATCTGCCCATTATCATTTATAAGCATTTTGATTTTGTAATGTTAGCATTTTTATTGGTGTTTTTATTATTGTATTACACTGAATTGCATTCAAATAACGGGTGTGTGTAATGCAGATCTACAGACATATGTTCATTCTTTCATTGTGACTAGTCTTATTCATGACTACATAGTCCATGTAGAAAATGTGATGTAAACTGCATTTTCTCTACTTATTAATCACTGGTATTTTTACTTGTCAATTAAATTGGTCTGTTTGAGGGCCTCTCCAGTGGCACAGCATGTTGAGTGCAGTGTTGTGAAGCTGACCGCAGCCTCCGCAGCACCGGATGGATTCCCGCAGGCCAGTTAGATTCCCACATGGGGAGGCAGACCTCTCCTGTCTCGCCCGCTGCTCCGCTCAGCAGTATATTTCAGTCAGTCTGCCTGTTCTGTTCACCACTCTGTCTCTGGTGAATCCTCTCACCCCCCGCATCTCTGGCCTGTACCCCAGCTCTTGTATAAATAAAAAATTAGGAAATAAAAAATAAATAAATAAAAATAAATCAGTCTGTTTGAAAATCCCAGTCTTCCCCACTTTAGTGACCATTTTGGCCAGCCTCATCTGTCAGTTATGGAGGGAAGAAGGTTGATATGTTTTAGGATGATTGTAGAGTTTTCCCTTTTGCCTTGCTTATGGTTTATTTTGAGATTATATAGTCATTATATACGCACGCATGTTTGGAATTTTGAATTTTTCCTAGTGAAATGTATATTAATTGATTAGGTATCTCTTTTCTCCCTTCATAATACTTTCACTTAACACTATTTGATAAATGTAACAGCTATATAACTATATAATCTACCTGTCAGGTCTCAAGTTACAGTTTCACTATAAACAACAGGTAATTATAAAAGTCCAGCGGATCTTTCCCCTTTCAGTATAATTTACTTTGCATTTTGATCTGTGCACTATGGCTATTTTGGATTGTTCGTGTAACATGAATTGAAATCCTCACTTCTAGGGCCTCCCTGGTGGCACAGCAATTGAGCACTGGGCTGCGAAGCTGCCCACAGCCTCTGCAGCACCAGTTCAATCCCTGGCCACCAGCGAGGGTCCCACATGGCATGACAGACCTCTCCTGCAGTGCCCGCTGCTCCCATCCTCAGTGTATTTGGTCACTCTGCCTGTTAAGTTCTCTACTCTGGCTCTGGTGAATTCTCTCACCCTCCTGCGCTACTGACTGTACCCAGTGCTTGTGTAAATAAATAAATAAATCCTTAAAAAAAAAAAAGAAAACCTCACTTCTAGAAGAGTTGCATGAGGGGTTCTTTCCAATGGTGACAACGGGAGTGATAAATAGGGAAGCACCCAGGACTAGGAGGTGGTAGGGCCATGGCCACTCGGGGCCTGTGTGGCAGGGCAGGGAGCTGTGAGGACGGGTTCGTGTGAACAGGCATAGATGATGGAGACCTGCCATCGCAGGCAATATAGAAGGACTTGGGTCCTGATGACTCCTAGTTCTGCTTCTGTCTGCTCCCTGGGCTTCCCCAGTGCTTCCCGTTGACTGAAGCCAACACAATCAGAAGGGCGGGAGGATGATCATTGGGTCCTCAGTGTCAACCTTCAGTTCTCAGCCTTGGTGCAGCTGATCATGTTTAACTCAGGAATATATTGTAGTTTCACTTCTTGCTACAACATCCTGTTATCATTGTTGCTTTGTAATTACACTCCTGGCCAGAGTCACACTTAAGAAATTATACTCCTGTGGCCTCCCTGGTGGAGCAAGGGGTTAAGAAGCAACCTATGAAGCTGTCTGCAGTGACTGCAGCAGGAGTTTGATCCCTAGCCAGGAAGCTACCCACATGGCGTGGCAGACCTCTCCTGACTCACCCGCTGCTCCCCTCAGCAGTGTATTTCAGTCAGTCTGCCGGTTCTGTTCCCCACTCTGGTGAGTCTTCTCACCCCCTACACCTCTGGCCTATGCCCAATTCTTATATGCATAAATAAACAAACCTTTAAAAACAAACAAATTATACTCCTGGCCAGCATCACGCTTAAAAGATAATTATTTTTTTTTAATTTACTTACGCTAGTCAGATCGTTTGATGTACATTATTCCAGCATAAATTGTTTCATTTTTTACTCATCCCTGGGACAAAATGAACTATCATCTGCAGCAAGATAAAAGACTTCACACCTAAATTCATGGGACGGACAGGTGCTCTGAGGGCTGAATAGAATGCTGGGATCTGAGGTAACTATTTCAATAACATAATATGGTAGGACCTATATTAATTTGCTTTCTGATAATCAGTGTGAAAGGTTATCACTAAAAAGAGGGGATAAGCTTCTTTTTTGCTTCAATATTTCATGATTCTTGGTGGTCCTACATGGGGGATAAGGGTTGTCAAGAAGACAGTAACCACTCTGGTTAGTCAGTCCCTTGCCTTCTCTGAGGGACTGAGTTGGTGATGGTGACAGTGATGGAGAGGATATTACTTCCACTTATAGCTTACTGACCAAATGCCAGGAATTTCTCCAATCAGTAAGGTGCTGAGCTCCTTCAATCCACCCCACCATTACTGTGGCAGGTGTGATGATTTCCTACTATATGCAGAGTCTCAGAAATAGACTCACAGAGCTAGAAGAAGTAGGCAGCACCTGAATCCAGGAAGGTTGCACTTGAAGTGCACTGTCTTCTCATCATATAAAATGTGTCTTTCTCTCTTATCGGTCAACGTGACTCTGGACCCAGACACAGCTCATTGTGAACTAATCCTGTCTGAGGATCAGAGATGTGTGACCCGTGGAGGCAGCCAGGAGGAGTATTTCAGTTCTACAAGATTCTGTTTCTTACCCTGTGTCCTGGGCTGTGAGGGCTTCACCTCAGGAAGACATTACTTTGAAGTGGATGTGGGAGAAGGATGTGGGTGGGACTTAGGAGTTTGTCTGGAAAATGTGCGGAGGAAAAAGGACATGACCCCAGAACCTCAGTCTGGATTCTGGGCCATCAGACATTGCCAGAAGAATGGCTACATGGCCCTTACCTTCCCCACAACTTCCCTTGCCATGAGGGAGTGCCCCCTGCTGGTGGGAGTTTTTCTGGCTGTGAGGCTGGACTTGTGTCCTTTTACAACATGAACACTGGCTCCCACATCTTCACCTTCCCAAGGGCCTCCTCTGATACTCTTCGGCCTTATTTCCAGGTTAATCATTCTCCTTTGTTCCTCCCTCCACCGCTGGAGTCAATTTAAAAGAGTCTCTTTTGTTTCCCGTCAGAAATAAAACATCAGTCCTATGAAGACAGATCTAGGTCTGTTTTGTCATCTGCTGTTTCCCTTTTCCTGGACCGGCGCTGAGTTCTCAGTGGACACTCAGTGAGTGTGCCATGACTGCTGGACACAGCCACTGTGCAGACAGCACAGAAGATCAGCCTGACCGGCGGGGAAGCGAGAGAACAGCAGGGTCATCCCTCGTGCTCTCCCCCGTCACTGGGTCAGATCTCTGAGCTGCCAGGGTCCTGGTCTCTCGCTGGGTGTCTGGCCATTTCATTTCATGTGAAGTTTTCACACCTCATCCATGTTGTCCTTTGGGTCAGTATTTGCTTTTGTTTATGGACAAACCATTGCAGTGCATGGATGTCATGCATTGTGTGTGCCTGTTCATCAAAGGACGGACATTGGTTGTTTCCACTTTGGGGCAAGTTCAAATGATACCACTGAGAACAGTGTTGTGCAAGTTTTTTGTCACTGTGTTTAAATTTGGAGGTTTGTACCTAGGAGTAGAATTGCCACTTCCTGTGGTAACTTGTCCATCTTTTAAAGAAACTGTCTGTTTTCCAAGGACGCTACAATATTGTATATCCCCACACCCATGTATGACATTCCAATTTCTCTACATTTTATAGGGTATTTTTCAAGGTAACTATGCTAATGGTGTTCAGTGCTGTCTCCTTGAGATTTTGTTTCTTATGGCTTTTGCATTTTCCTAATAACTGGTGATGGTGACAGCTTCATGGCTAATTGTGCGTCTTTTTGGAATTATCTCTATTCACATACATTGCCCATTTTAGCTGGGTTATTTGTATTTTGGTTTGTAATAACTTCTGTATGCTAATCACAGTTCTAGGTATGTCCCTTATCAGCCTAATAATTTTAGAAACTTTCTGTCATTCTCTGAGTTGTCTTTTACATTCTTGATGGAGTCCTGTGAAGCTCACCTCAGTATCCTTGTTATATTGAACTTTTATTACTTGTGTTTTGGGTGTCATCCAGATAACCGCTGGGAACCAAAGGGAACAAGAGTTTTTCCTTCTCTTTTCTTCCAAACGGTTTTAACCATTTCAGTTCTTACACTTAGATCTTTGGTTCATTTTGGGGACTCCAGTGATCTGTCCACTCTGGTTCTTTGAATTCTCCATCCTACACTCCTCATACGCAAAGGGGATGCACTGAGGGAGGGGCTCTTTCTGGCCTCCCCTGAGCTGTCTCAGCACATCGCACACATCACCTGAAGCAGTGCGCTCTCCCCACTTTCGGGACGTGTTTCTGAAGGTTCATCTGCGTCACCACCCCTCTCAGCCCTGAGCTCTGCATGATCCCCTCCTTTACACAGCAGGTGCGGGGGTGGGCAGTGGTCACAGGACAGACCCTGTCATGAGCTTGTCTTTGTCTGGCTGCTGCTGTGGGGATGGTTGATCCCCTGTGGGGATCTCCTTTCCTGATCCTTTGACAAGACAGCCCAGGAGGAGCTGTGCCTGGGGGCAGAGTTGCATTCAGGACAGTGATCTGGTAGAGGGAGATGCAGGAGTTATTTTGGGATCAGAGACCCAGGGACACATTCTCCCTCTGTCTGTGAGCTATATGCCTCAGGAGCTGGTGTAGCCAGTCCCTGTGTGGGGCCTGCCTGCAGGCTATGCCAGGATAATATGAATCTTCAGATATGAAATGGCAGAGACTAGGGAGCACCCAGGAGAATGCAGAGACTGAGAGATTCTCAGAGACTGAGAAGCTGGGCCACCATTGGAACCAGCAGCTTCTGAGCCTGAGCAGCTGGTCACCCTTGTCTGGGTTGTTCCTCAGCTCCTCTGCAGGTCAGCCACCTTGACAGAGCCCCTAGGGCATTCAGATCAGCACCAAGCAAAGCACCTGTCCCAGGATCCAGCCAGGGGCTCTAGAACCCCAGTCACTGTCAGGCTCCACTTCACCCGACCAGCCCCTCAGCCTAGCAGAAGTACTTTCTTTTACAAATACCTATTGTGCGATTATCAGAAATGCCTCTTCCATCCTAGGCTATCAATATGGCAAGGGACTATGCTGCCTGCCTCCCAGCACCCAAGCTTGCAGCCTTAGAGCCTGCTCCTCTGCTCCCCTGCTTAAGCATTAAAGGCCTGTCAGATCTACCTAGGGCTCCAAATTCCTTTCCCCCTCCTGAATAACAATGAACCTGGCTGGTGCTGCCAGTTTCAGGACTTCTCCCAAATCTGTCTGGCCCTGCCCCCAGGCAGTTACTTTCTGATTTGACACCAGGGAAAGGAAACCACATGCAGGAGCCCAGAAGTGGAGCTGCAGGGGGACTAGCAGCGATTTTGTTGCTGACTGCTCTGTGAGGACTGGAGGATTGAAGAAGTCCAGGTCAAGGTTTGCTCTGGGGTGAACTGTGAGTTCTATGTCTGCGTGACTGTGGGGGTGTGTGCGTGGACAGGGGTGTGTGTTCCGCGTGGGTGTGGTCCCTGGCAATAAGGAGCTCACTGGAACCTAAAAATGGTCAGGACATTGCTTTCCAGCTCTCTCTCCCTCTGCTTTCTCTTTCCCAGGCACAGTGCCACATCTCAGATCAGGGTGTGAAGTCAGCAAGAGCAGGCACTTGGGGTTCAGAGCATCCCCAGGAGCACAACCCCAGGCATAAGGAAGGCTGGTGCAGCCCCTGGGAGAAATCCCCTCCGTGGGAGAGCAGTCTGCTAGTCCTCAGAGCTCTGGCTCCGAGGGGGAAATAATCTATCCGGTTCCTTGTGTTGGATCTGCTTTTAGTCCAGGCCCTGTGAGTGCAAAGGAAAGGTCTCTCACTCCCTCCCTCAGCACCTCCCCACACATGGCAGCAAGGGGAGGGCAGCAGGGCTGGGAGTCTGAGCAGCTGCAGCTGTGGGGAAGGGCAGACCCTCTGCTCTGGTCCTGCTCCTCTGTCTCCAGCTCTCAGTCCTCACTGGTGGACACTGGAGGGTCCAGCACAAGGACCCCACAGTGGACAGGCCTTGCCCTCTGCTTCCTGCCTCCCCACATCCTGGTTCTGCAAATTCCCTCTGCCTCAGGCACCCTTCTTGTCCTGGGAGACCTGTCCTCCCCTGGAGGGAGACAGTCACCTCCCTTGTGCCCAGGGCCTCTGCTCCCAGCACCAACTCCTTCTCTTGCCACTCTCTGCAGCTCTCCCGTGGAGTATGGTCTCCACATAAACTGGATTAACCTGGATCCCCTTTTTCTCTGAGAGTTTTACTGAGTCTTGAGGACCAGATGTGGGGGTGTGAGGAGAGTCAAGTGTCACTGACCCCATGCACTCTGCCCCCAAACCATTCACCTCTGTTGCTGGCAGGACAAAAAAGTAACTCAGAACTTGGGGCTGACTCCTCCGAAGTTCATTTTGCAACAGGGTGGTCCCCAGGAAAGGGGGAGGTTCCCTGCCCCACCCAAGGGAGGGTGGAGTTGAGCAACAAGAGGAGAAGCTGCAGAAGAGACTGAGGAAGGAAGGAAGCAGGATGGAGCCAGGAGACCTGGAGGAGGCGCATGGAGCCTAGAGACACGTAAAGAAACTGCGCTTGTCTTTTGGTCGTGGACGGGGTGACACAGATGTGGGTGAGACCCGTGGGGAGGTGACGATGGCAGCTTTTATCTGGATGTTGATTTTGCTCTTTTCCTTCCGGGCTTGTCCGGTTGTTTGTGACCCTTTTCTGTGGGTCCCCACTGGAAGATGTTTTAGACTTGTGGCAGGCTTTGGGGCCTTGCTCTGGGCCGACCCCATATGGATGGAGTTTTACCCACGAGGGGACGGGTAACTTTGGTTGCTTCATTTAGAAACTAGACTGTTTGCCTTACCTGTATTGTTTCCTAGTTTTTATTAAAGTTCCTTCCCATTAAAGTGTCATATGTTTTGTGTTGATGCGGCGGATGGCAGAACCCATTTAGAATAGGCAGGTTTGCGGGGGTTTGGGCTGCCCCTCTCCCTGTCCTATAACAATTTGACACAGAGAGACTATCTCTCTCCCTCCCTGACTTCTCTTCTCTCCTACCACTTTTGCTAGCAAACCTGTCTCTTCTCTATCTCTCCTACTACCTGATCAAAGAACACTTTCTGCCATGAGGGAATGTTCTTCACTCGGATATGGTGGGACTATTGGCAGGTATGAAGCATTGAATAATGGCTGGTGGGACTCAAACATTGAATTTAAATGTTATTATTGAATTTTAATCTAAACTGAATGGGGCAAACGAGACAGGGTTCAACCTATCCTACCACACAGGGAGGTGTGAGGCATTTTTCAATCCATTATGTCTCCAGAGAGACCTCAACACCTGTGCAGGCTCAGAGGCTCACGTGAAGCTTAATTCTTCACTGGAAAATCCTGTCTATCCATCTCTGCCTACAGATAATTTCAGGAAGAACCATGGCCTCAGTCCCAGGGATCAGGAAGATGAGGGAGGAAGCCATGTGCTCCATCTGCCAGCAGCTGATGACAGAGCCTGTGAGCATCTGCTGTGGGCACAGCTTCTGCCGCGGGTGCATAAGCGGCTACATTGGTCAGAGTCTCAATTGCCCGATTTTTGTGATGATGCGTCCCTGTCCCTTGTGTGGAACATCAATTCAAAGGGAGAGTCTCCGACCCAACAAGCCGTTGGAAAACCTCATTGAGAGCATCAAGGAGCTGGAGCGTGAGAGGCTGTGTGAGGAACACGGGGAGAGGCTCCACCTTTTCTGTGAGGATGAGGAGCAGCTCATCTGCTGGCGCTGTGAGCGCTTCTCCCAGCACAGAGGACACCGCACGGTTCTAGCAGAGGACGTGTGTTTAGGCTATAAGGTGAGTGAGTGGCCAAACCTTTCAGCAAGTACTTCCTCTTATGTTGCACATTTTTATGAAATTAGTTAATCTGAACACCAAGATTGTGACCCTAAAGAGTTTTTTCCATCACGTTATTTTCTGAATAATAATTTATTATGATCCCAGTGAGTCAAGTCTTGATTATCTACGCCAAACTTCAAGGTTGGTCAGAACCCATTCCTGTAAGAAATTCCTGTAATGAACTTCTCCTGGACAATACATTGTGCTCTTTGCCAACCTGCCTCGTTCATGGCCTCATCTCGAATATATAATTGGAGACACCACAACGTGCAAGAGTACAGGAAATCATCTGAAATCCTAGAGGTCAGAATCACTAACTGTTAGATAGCCTACAGTCTACAAGGAGTAAGAAAAGGAACACAGGCTGCCTCATGTCCCTTGGTGTGGGTGGTGAGGAGGGGCACCAAAGGGCCTGAATGGGTATAGGGGGAGACTGCCCAGAAGTGAGTCCTGACAGGAAAATATAAATAACCGTGTGTGGAGAAAAAACAGGATTCCACTCAGGCAGACCACCTGTCACAGCAGCTTGCCTGACATTCTAGTACCTTGTCAGGCGGTGTGTGTTGGGACTGGCAGGTGAGGGCATGAGAAAGGAAGTCAAGGAAAGAACGTGAGTGTCACTCAGAGTCTACTCGTCCACAGTTGGGATTTATTTGTGGAGGGAAAGATCAGGCTGACATTTAAAAGAACATTCTGCGTGCACAAAGTAAACATCAAGGAGTAAAATCAAAGTTAGAACTCTAAGAAAAGGGGATGGAAACAGGTTTTAGCAAGGATCATGAAGGAGAGTTAAAGGATTTCAAAATAATTGGTGAGTGATGAAGCCTTGAGAGATGTTCAGGCACCTCCTAATTTCTCACTCAGTAGCTCTGAATAAGGCTGCCCTTTGCTGTGCAGGAATGAAGAATTGGGATTCGTTCCTCCTCTGCCCTTGTTGACATTTGAAGGAAACAACCCCAGTCAGGCTCTGTGTTCCCTCATCCTTGAGGTGCTATATCTTGTGTGAAGGTTCAGGATCCTGTGTCAGGACTTGTCAGTCCTGAGCACCATCAACGCACTCACCTCCCCCTGTAATGCCATGAGCAGCTCATCACTGTAATGGGGCAGATCCCATAACTTTCCCAGCAAATAGTAAAAAATAAAGCAACCCAAGCTGATGGATGTACCTCAGGAATCAGACTGTGGAGGTCAAAATCTAGCACGAGTTTCAGTTCTTACTAGATGGGATCTGTGAGCAACTTTGTTACTGCCTTCGTGACTTGGTTTCCCCATCTGTCACACACACACAGCGGAGGTTGTCATAAGATGTTAGTATATTCTTGATGTAGAATTACAATAGCACTGGGCTTACAGCAAGAGCAAATCAGTCTTTTACCAACTAGATTCCTGACATTTTCTTGAGAGCCCTGTGTTGTTTTGAGCATATTTAAGAGTTTACAGAGAGCAGGAACAATTCTTTTACTGTGGACCATGACTAGCAGTTTAGTAAGCTTCAGATTGCTTCTCTTGAACATGTGAGAAAGTGTTTGAAAAGTAACCCTATAGCTGAATGTGGACACTAAATACTGTAAGTTGCTGTCATGACACTGTTCTTCAGGTGATACAGGGCTCTCCCTCCATGACCTGGTTCTGTAACTTCAGCTGCCATCCTAGGCTCTCCTTCCTGACTCACCATAAGATGTAAAATATCCCACGTGTATCATACACTCTGTAGTGTTTATTACTGGTCCAACACATTATTTTATAAAACATACTGTTAGGTTATTATAATCCTGTTCTATATGCAACATGACCCTGGAAGGTTGTAGTAGTGGTTGTATTTCAGGTTCTGGGTCAGCGGATGAGCTGGGAATTACATCTCAGTCACCTTCCAGTGATGGCCCCTTGGGCAGTTTACTGCTCCCTTCCTAAGCCTCCACTTCTACAGCACAGAAAGATGTTACAATCCTAGAAACGCCTCGTGTCAGCTAGAGGATCGGTTATGTTACAGCCCTCATAATTTTGTCCTTTGTTAAGGCCTGAAAATATATTCAATGTTAATTATTTATTGGCGGTTGCACCCTGTAGGTGCCAAGTGAAGGTTTGTGAAATTGACTAGTCGTAACTCAGACCATTTTCCTTCAGGAGAAGCTCCAGGAAGTTGTGACAAAACTGAAAGCACAGAAAGATACATGTAAGAGTGCAAAGTTGTTCACGAGAGACCAAATAACCAAATGGGAGGTAAGAATTTGAGTTTATTGACCTCAAGTTATATTCCTTCCTTGAATTTAAAGAGAGGAGGTAACTGGGAAAGTATTAGACAGTTCATTCTCTGTCCACCAGAGCACAGATCAAACTCCAGAGGAATCCATTTTTTTTTTAGTTTTAATACTACTAGTTGTCTATACCCATGAGAATTTATCTCCATTTTCTTCAACCTTTCGATAATAGTTGCCTAGTTGTCCTGTGCCTCTATCAGGAGACTAGAGTTGGTATGTCTGCTTACCTGGAACCCAGAACTT